TTATATAAGCTAGTTATATGCTATACTCAGACCTCCTATACAAAGTATCTCTACGCGTTGCTTTGTTTCGCTCTTTCCTAGATAGCTCAATTCAACTGACTCTTTTGCTCCATTCGTTCGTTCGTTTCGTTGCTTTCATTGCTTGCTGTAGAGCGCGCCTCAAGATATTATCGTCTACGTAAATTGCCATAAGTAGTTCTCCTGGGCAAGCTGTGTCCTCGTTGGATAACGTAACACTTTTCAATAGTATTGGAACACTTCTGACCCAAGTTCATAAAATGAGCATCTTGAAGTGCGAAATAAAATAACAATAAAAGCTAAGTGAAAGCAGGGTGACTTACGCAGGTCTCGCGTAGCTGGAGGACCCACTCTTTTAGTGCGGAGTCTTGTGGAATCATCTTATCTTCGGCCTATCAGAAGCCTTCATATTCTCTAAGGGTATGGCCGAAATACCCATCAGTCTTCAGAAAATAAAGCCTATGATATCTGCAGATCTTGGCTTTAGATCTAAGTAGCAAGAATGTAATATTCTTGATACTTTATCTCTTGGCTTAATTTCTTACCCTCAAATTCTTTTCACCCTAAATCCGATTTCAAGGGTTTTTTCTCGAACCTCCGTACTTCCACGGGTTTACGTAAAAGAATCAGCCAGTGGGGACATCGCAAACATCGCGCCTTTTAGCAAGAATAGAAGGGCGAGGAATACGAGGAGGCTTGCTTGGCAATTTATCGGAGATAGGAACAGTCGAAGCCTCGAAGGAGTAGACTTCCTGGTTAGGAATATGGATCTGATAAGATCTAGCTGAGTGGTGAAAGACGCATCAGCCCTGTCTTGGCATTCGGTCCTACTTCGTAGGAGCTTGTAAAGATAGATATGACCTCCTCTATCCAACCGCAACTATAAAGTCGCGATGCTTCCCTGCATCATGGCAGACCAACACATCATCTTCTTACACTTCAACGATCATTGAGACCTAAAACACCGAATCTCATTCAATATGCAGTTCAAGGTTAATAACATCCTTTTCCTCCGATGTCCGATAATCCAGTCTGACCATGCCAGATCCTTGCGCTTTCCGCTTTTGTGGCCACTGCTGCTGCCACCATTGACGTCGCCTTCAGCGGCTACTACTATGCCGACTGCGTCTCCCCCAGCATTGAGGCCGCCAACGTCATCTCTGGTGCCTGTGGGCCTGCCAACGGCCTCCCTCTCAAATCTTTCTCCGCGCGCATCTACTCCGGCTCCTGCGATGCTGGCACATCGCCTATCTTGAAGATGTACACCTCTACTGGCTGCACCGATGAGTCATTGTACGGCGAATACAACATCACCAGCGATACTCAATGCTTCGCGGTGGATGCAACATTCCTGAGCAATGAGGTTGTTTGTGAGTAATGGGATTATAGTGAGCAAGATGCTCTTTAAATGTATTTACTTTTCCAATAAAAGTACGAAGTTGAAAGTTCTATGCACCCTCCGCCACGACGAGGATATCTGCCAAATCCATTCTGACTGTGGAGGACGATGTGGTAGTCTACATAATGTGAATGTGGAGTTAGTTTATTGACTCGAGTAGGAGACCGGTAGGCCGTAGCTCTATGAAGGGGTGCAATTAATCCACCATATGGAACGGGAAGAAGAAGCTTCTCAATAAAGTTTACATGAGGTGATTAAATACGAGGCAGTTATGAAGGCATGAATGTCTATTTCACGCGAAATCTATGGGATCGGATGAGCATTCCATGGCAGCGTGTTCATGACTATTATCCATTGAGTTCAGAACGGGTCATAAGCAGAAGAAGTGATACCATGGGAATTATTGGGCGTAAAGAACATACTGAAAACCTATGAAATCGTAATCTATAATACCGATTTTGTATTACTGGATGTCATGCTGTCTTTAAAGCGTTAAGCAAGATAGAGTACGTTGGGTAGCAACAATAGATGTCACATACATGTATAATATGACGTAATCAATGGGGCAATGGCGCATCTGGGAGCGCGTCAGACTGAAGATCTGGAGGTGGCCGGTTCAAGCCCGGCTTGCCCCATTCCCTTTTTGAACTCTTTTTTCAATCTTCGTTTTTGCTTTCCTAATAGAGCTCTACGTAGTTTCTGATTATATCTTCATAAGTGAGCAAAACCATTTGTACACAGCAGACTCAGGTAACAGCTAGATAGGCATGGAAAAATATGTTGATGAGCCAAACTCTCATCCGATGGCTCGGGTTGATGTTGCTACAGAGCCTCGTCGTCTGAACTTGAAATATATTCTAACACAAGCTCGTACCACCCACACCTTTATTGCCTTGAGTCATATGGCGTTCTTACAGCGTCTTACAATGCCACCGTCTTCTCCGTCACATGGAATACTCTCATGTCGGGACTCGAGCCTGAACATGATAATTTTTTATTATTTGTATCAGTAGAATTCTCCCAGATGATAGAAGAGATGGATGGAGCTGGAACGAATTCGCCATAATGCATACACTAGATAGGTTACATACTTTCCACACTTGGAAATTTACTTCGTAACAGTGTGGTTTACGGAAATACTACATGTTGAGGATAGGTCGAAATGCAGTATCACCCGTCAGAATGCGAGAATGTGATGAAGCAAATGGAACCCATATCTTTCCTTTTGTCCCTTTTGGGCCGAGTTGGGCCGAACTCGAACTGTACTGTAAAGCGAAATGACAAACCGATCGTCGGACGAGATCCATATGAGCCCGTGTCACTTTGCCGTTTTGGGACATTCGTCGGCCGAATGCTGAGTCATGCATAGCTGACTCAGCTATAGTTTGTCAGCCCTGCAGTGCCAACTGACATGTAATTGGTGATTCTGCCAGCGATATTAACAATCTTCAGTCCCAGCTGGGTCTCCTTTCGGGGGCAGCTGTGATATCCTTTTGTCCATTTAAAATCTATCTTTTTGGTGGTTCCTCTTCTTCCAATTGTTCTCGTGTGATCTCGCTTTCGGCTTTACCATATACTCTTTGCTCGTTGCATCCAATTATTATCTTGTATCCGTCCTAGGGCTACTACCGGCCGTCACTACAACCACGATGGTCAAGTTCTTTCAGCCACAGCCAAAGATCGATCCCTTGCCTACAGGAATTGACCTTACTGGGAAGACCGCGGTTATCACTGGTGCCACTGCAGGTCTGGGTCTTGAAGTCACCAAGCAGCTTTTGCGCTTGCGCCTCTCCACCGCCATCCTCGCCGTGCGCAATGTCTCCAAAGGCGAGGCCTGCATCGAATCGTTGCTGCAGGACCGCGGCATTCAAACCGACAACCCCAAGCCCACAATCAAGGTTATGGAGCTTGACATGGATCGCTATGATAGCGTGCAGCAATTCGCTAAAACTCTCCGCGAAGAGGTTCCGGTGGTTGATCTCCTCATCCTTAATGCGGGAGTTGCTTCTTTAAACTTCGAACGTAGCCCAAGTGGCCACGAGAGGGTGACGCAGGTGAACTACTGCTCTAACATGCTGCTGGTTGCCGAGCTTCTTCCTCACCTGGAAGCCGGTGCGGAGCAGACCGGCTCCCCTGCCCGGATCAGCTGGGTAGGCAGTCGCTCGCACGAGTCACCCAGTTTCGAGAAAAAGGCCCCCATTGAAGCCGACGAGGGGGTTTTGGAGCATATGGACAAGAAAGAAGCCTTTGCTCCTTTTCAACGGTATAGTGACACTAAGTTACTCTGTGTGCTGTTCATGTACAGCTTGGCTCCGCGCCTGGACCCCAAAAAGGTCATCATTAATATGATGTGTCCGGGTATGGTAAACACTGGGATGAGTAACATGCTTCCACTGCACCTGCGCTTGATTATCAACGTCATCAAGGCTATTCGCGCCCGACCCGTTGAGGTAGGGGGTTGGGTTATCCTGAACGCTGCGCTCGTAGCAGGCCCAGAGTCCCATGGGAAGTTTCTGGCGGATAAGGTCATCACCGAGTAAGTCCTGCTTCTGCTTAGTCTACCATAGGCTTCACCACCTGATTTTAATTCTCTTTCAGTAAACCTGCAATCGTTACCTCTCCAATGGGCCAGGAGATTCAAACCAAGCTTTGGGAAGAAACAGTCACCGAACTGAGCAAGTTGACCACTCTTCCTCCCCAGTTTCACTAGACTGAACTGGTTAACATTCCACGACGTCGCACCATGTTGCTGCTGCTTGTTGGAAACCCTTTTGATACCACTTTGCCTCCTTGGAACCTCTTCCTGTTTCTTTCTTCCCCACGACAGTTGCCGTGGTTTTTGTATCTTCCCGTGTCTCTGCCATTCGCCGACCAGTACGAGTGGTACTGTAATGTTCATTATCGCGGCGGAACATTGTCTATCCTTGTGACACGCGCAGCAAATCTTCTCTTTGAAGCTAGATTGAATAACGCAACCCAGAAACTTTACGAGTAAGCAAGAAACTTTTATTTTGATACGATTTTGTGGCAATGAATGGAACATGCAGTCACTGGTGAAGGAGAGACGGGTTTGCGAAGAGAGGACATGTCTTATACGGCGGTGATTTTCCCTGTGCATCGATGGCTACTATCAACAAATACCTGCGGATGATGGATGTGATCTCGACTAATGACGGGGAGGTGCCAAAGGACATTGCAGGAGGTTTGGCCCTGAAACCTTTTTCGCGATTCCGAATGCCGACTGACTTCTGACGTGTCGCGAAGAACAAGATTGATGTCTTTTTTCGGTCTGCTTATTGCTTCCCATTGGTTTGTCCAATCTCTAGTCTGCACTACTGTTCTGTTTTCGTATAGTGATTACTTAATAGCTAAACATAATCTCTGTTTGTGAATCATTATATTGCTTTTTCTAATTGTCTACCTATTGTCTTTTTCTTCTTTTTTCTTGGCCGATCGAACGGGCTGGTAATAGGCACAGACAACCGCCCCCCGCCCACTTATTTTTATCCCTTTCATTTCACCTCAGCAGTGATGAGCAGACATTCAAACTTGTTGAATCAATGCTTAGTTATTCTTCAGCAGAATGGCGCTTGTTCATCTGACTGCATTAGCCACATGTGCGCTTTTGCTGGTAGTTCTCCGCGCCACCTTCAATAGTTGGAGACTACAGCGAAAGCTACCGCCTGGTATGTGCTGACATATGTGGAACTCCTACCACCATTCCATAAACCCTGATAATAGCAATCATAATATACACACGTACAAGAGTCTAATGTGAGACAGGTCCCCCCGGTGCCCCGTTCATTGGGAGCATTCTCCAATTACCCAAAGTTCGCGCGCATCTCAAGTATGCATCAATTTTGGAAAAGGCAAAGCAGTAGCTGACAGGAAACAGATTCACAGAGTGGACCAGGACATATGGAGGCTTATACGGCTTCCATATTGGTCCAGCGACAGCCGCAGTGGTTACGAATCGTGCTCTGGTCAAGGAGCTCTTCGACAAACGGAGCGCGCTGTACAGTTCACGTCCAACTTCACATGTTGGACAAAACATCATCACTGGCGGTGACCATCTCCTAGTCATGGACTATAGCGACAATTGGCGTCTATTCCGCAAAACCATAAATCAGCATTTCTCGGCTTCCATGTGCGAAAAGACGCATGTCCGCCTGCTGGAGGCCGAGCATACACAGATGATGCGCGACTTTCTCCTACATCCCGAGAAGCATATGTTGCATACGAAGCGCACAACTAATAGCATTATAATGAGTTTGCTTTTCGGTATTCGTACTCCGTCTTGGGACACACCACAAATGCAAGACCTATATGAGATAATGGAGCTCTGGTCCCAAATCATGGAGACAGGTGCTACCCCACCAGTGGACATATTTCCTTGGCTGCATTGGGTGCCACAGCAGTGGTTTGGCCACTGGGTTGATCGCTCACAGGCGGTGGCACGTGGTATGAAGCGGCTGTATGGTTCGTTCCACCGACGGGCCATCGAGGCGCGTCGTAGAGCAGAGAGCGCCTCCCAGTATTGAGCCCGCAGCTTCCTCGACGACGTCCTTGATCTGCAAGAGAAGCTTGGTCTTACGGATAACCAGGTCGACTTCTTGGGTGGTGTTATGATGGAGGGAGGCTCGGATACCGGTTCCACAATGCTTCTGGTCATGATCCAAGCGTTGGCGCTCCATCCTGAGATTCAAACGCGAGCACAAGCTGAGCTCGATGCAGTCTGTGGAGAATACCGATCCCCAACCTGGGAGGACTTTCCTCGTCTGCCTTACATTAACATGGTTGTCAAAGAAACAATGCGCTGGCGACCCGTCACACCCTTGGCCTTTCCACACGCTCTCAGCAAGGATGACTGGGTGAATGACTACTTCCTCCCAAAGGGAACCGCCGTCTTTCTGAACGTCTGGGGCTTACATCATGACGAAAATGTCTTTCCAAACCCCGACCAGTTTGACCCTTCGCGGTTTGAGGGCCGGTATAAGCTGGCATTTGAATATGCCGCTTCCTCCGAGTACATGCAGCGTGATCATTATATCTACGGTGCCGGACGACGTCTGTGTCCAGGGATTCATCTGTCCGAACGTAACATGTTCCTTGGTGCTGCAAAGCTTCTTTGGGCATTCAATTTCGAGCCGGCGCGGGATGAAAAGGGCAATCCCATCCCCATCGACGCAGACCCGACCACCAGCTACACCGAAGGTTTCCTGGTCTGCCCGCGACCGTATAAATGCAATGTTGCGCCACGATGTTCGGCTCATGCGGATACAATTCTCAGAGAATTTACTTGGGCTGAATCCGAAGTTCTTTCTCAATATGCGACGCCATAGGTTTTTCGTTCCACACTCGTGCTAGCATTCACTGAAATAGCTTCTATGAGCCTGTTCGTATTAGCTGAGGTTCCGGCTGCTACTTCTTTCTCGGTGCAGCTTTACAGCTGTAGGAGTTGCCTGGCTGACGCTTGAAGGAACGGGTGACATGGTAAGGAAAGAAGGTCTTATCCGACGTGAGGCGTAACGTAACCAGCTACTCAAGTGACTAATCTAAAGGATCTCGTCAAGATATTCCGTCCTAGTAGCTGTGTAGAAGTTCATTTCTCTATCTCGCTTTTAAGCAAGCGTCGGTTAGTCCACTTATGCAATGGGTTGAAGGTTCGTTGGGTTGATTTGCAGTAACTGACGCTGGCACGTGCAGGGGGTCAATAGAGTTGTTTCTTCTGTAAATATCAAGGATCGGACCTTCGGGCCAAAACAATTTTCTGTCGAATATATGACGAATGCGAAATACCTAGATCTTTTCGCTCTGTGTCAGCATGGCATTCTCCAAAGCTACAATCGCTAGTATGACATTCATATCCATTAGTACTTCCAGACATCATTCCAGTTCACAAGGTGCCATTGCTTAATCGCCATATAGCAGGTATAATAGTACACCGTTTACTCGATGCTCTGAATTCTTCATTTCATCGGTGTGGTAGCTTCGGCTTTACTGTTGTAGCACAAGGGAAAAGATAGATCAAATACATATACATTGAGTCCGGGGTAATTGTAAGGTGATCAATATGGTATTACCAGTCATCTAAGCACTATCCCCTTTGCCTAAAGATGACGAACGCGAGATACTTCCAATTCTATCACAAGTTAACGGTGTGGTGCGAGTGTGTTCAGATGTGCTCGGGTACCATTTGGGTCTAGCCAACGAGGATGACCAAGACTCGAAATCAGTGAGACTGGCAAGAACATCCTGATCCAGGCCACTGTCATATTCTACGGCAAATACGTTACTCGTCGGTCCAGGTCTGGTGCCCGAAGGCGTTTGGGGTGCGGTAGCCGTAGACGGGGCATATTGATTGCGGTGGTTGTGGATTGTGGATGACGAAGACGATGAATTCGGCAAAGGAAAGATGCTCTCGTTCACTGTGTCCTTCTCAGTACTCTGACTTCCAAGTTCAAGGGTGTATGGGAAAAGCCAACATTTGTTTTCGTCCAGCTTGTCAGTGATTCGGTTAGCGAATTTCATTTGTGAATCCACACGACTCTTAAGGTCAACGAGAACCTGTATAGCGAGCGGAATTCGCGCCTCTGATGAACCCTCATCACATTCCGGATTATCCGCACGAGATTCTCCCGGCGAATCTCGCGGAACTTGGTAGTATGAAATAGTGTGGTCGATAATTTCTTCGATGCAATATCGAGCCAGCACAATATCTTCTGATTCCGGAAAGCGATGTAAGTAGACGAGGATAAGAAACGCACATTGAAGAGGGCCATGATATTGATAGCAAAACCATACGTAAGGGGAGAAAGCAGGGGTTTGATAGAGCTGCAGGAACATACGCAAGTAGCTCACGCAGAGGTGTGCTACACTGGAGATACAGTGCTTGTCAATAGAGCTGTCGGACCAGATCGTGATGATATCAAGGATTCATACCTGGTCCATGCTCTACATGATTCCGGATCCGCACTGTCCGGGGCAGGTAAGAACGGCTTTTGTAGAAGTATAGCTACCTCCACTTTGAGCAAAATCAACATTATTCTTGTCCAAGCCGCGAAAACAGTAGGATGAGTGCCATCATCCTTATAAAGTGCTGGGTGTGTGATCGGAGATGCTTTGGCTAGTCGGGAGGGAATTAATCCCTGTTCAGGAATACCTTGTGAAGGAACACGGGCAATCAGTTTATCGATCTTCTGTTGAAGCTTTTTCGCCAATGTCACAAGTTCAGTAAATTCAGTCTGAGCCAGGTGTCGTCCAGTTTGCAGGCGCGAAACGATCTTTGACTGCACACGCGCTGTTTCAGCGCGCGCTATGGCGAGTATAACGGCTATGGACTGTTCCGATGGACCAGGAACTAGATCCGGGGAAAAGTGACCAGAAAAGTCACTAATATCATCATCGCATGTATCAGTTATCATGCTGACAATGTCCAGCGCCTCGGGAGCGCAACAAGGGGGTAGGCCTGTGCATATGCTAGACTGGACGTCAAGCCCAATAATATACCACCAGGCTCGACGACGGATTTCCCGATCAACGGGGCTCAATGAAGATGACCAAGTTCCTTCCCGATGCAATCCCATGCTCTGGGCAATGCAGATTGTTGTGCTGATAGAGACCATATTGCGCATTGGCCCAACATGTCGGTCCAAGAATGTTGCAGTCAGCAGCGTAGACACTAGCGTGTTCAATGTCGGGTGTTCGAGGTGTTGGCATAGAGACATACTTGTCGTACAGGCCGACTTCAAGTGGGCTATCGTCGTTTCTTTCCGCAGACTCTGCAGACTGCCGCGTGTCCAGCTGGCCGGCGGTGCAGCGCATGCGCCAGAATATAGGATGGCAAAGAGAAGGCAGAGAAAGGTTGGGTCGTCGCGGATCTTTTCTGGGGGAAGCGCCCTATCGCTATTGCGGCACCAATCCCAGAACCTGTCGTAGTCCGCCCGTAGGGTTGGGCTATGCACCAGAGGGGAAAGAGGCCACACCGCGAAGAAGAATGCATCAAGGAAGGTATCGCTCACAGGCTTCGTAGGTAGGGACCGTAATAGATTGAACATCCCCAAGGAGGATATGTGTCTGAGGGGCCGTTCTGGTGAAGCGTCACGGTTGCAGTCAAAGAAATCATCACTCATAGATTCCTGCCGGTAGCCCAATAATCAAGGTCAGTTCATGCCTGGCCGCCGGGTTTCTGCTTACATCGCTGGGCAGTACTGACTTTCCCGGCCACAAATCCCCAAAATGCTTGACCAATGTACCGCGCACGTGCTCCCCGTCGTACGCTCAGATAGTCAGAACTGATAAGATAATGGTGACTGATAGAGGCACTGGGCGCTCTAGCGGATCCTGAGACTGCAGTGGCGGCATCTTGGGAGGCACTTGGCGTTTTGCTTCTTCTTGCCCTAGCGGAGGCTTGATGGTTCTCGGGCAGCTGGATGGTCTCGTCCCAGGAAGGCACTGTCGGATTTTGCAAATCAACCTCCTGTTGGCGTGATAGTGGTGCCGGGGTGAGTATGGAGGAAGAAAGCCATTGATGAGGAACAGAGCTAGCATCGCATCTAGCTTTGGCAGAATGTCTCTGAGGAGGAGGAGCAATGAAAGAAACGTTGCCACGCGGAAGGGGAGCCTCATCGCCGAGATCTATCACATTTCCAGAGTCTTGTGTCATCCAGTGTGACCAGGTAAAACCTCCTGTTTGCTTCTCCAAATCATCGGCAGAGGATTCCTGTCCATTAGATTTATCCCCCTGGGGTACAGGAGGAGACACTTGGCGTACACGGCCAGTACACTTATCGCGGGCCATATTCTCGTAGACACAATTCTCCTTCATCCGGACACAATTGGCGCATTGCGGATGTTCGCGGCCGCAGCGAACTTTGCGACGACGGCAGACAATGCAACTCAATGATAATCGGGGCCTTTTGATCTGGCGGGGTTTAGGTGGTGGCATGGTGGTGAAAGTCGTACTGATGCAAGTAGTTGGGATGTAATAATGGTGTCCAATAAGTGTGGCGAGATATAAGGTACCTACTATTACTATAGAGAAAGGGACTACCAGCACGACGCAGCAGACAGTAGTGATTATGGCAGTACGGAACGAATAATTACTGCCACAGTCACTACTATACACTGGGATGATATAGCAAGTGTCGGTTTCTGTAGTCGATGGATAATAGCAAGGTTCGTTCTACAGCCAGCCCCACCCGCCTTGTGGCAAGTCAGAAATCGTTGCCTTGTCCAAGTGCCAGTTAGACAGGCATTGAGACAGCAGTGCGGTAAAAAGTAAAATGCAGCGAGCGGCATAGGTCGACCTGATGATGTACTGCAAGTTGTTGATCAAAACCCCGGCGTTCGCTGCTAGATTCGCCAGAGGTCTTGGTCCCGAGGGTCCAGTCTGTCGCGTCCCAAAGGGTAAGCAACGGGATCGGATTAACTCAACCAACTTGCAGTGCGGCGGGCGAGTTTGTCCGAAGCCAGTTCGATGCCCTCTGAGTTCCCGCCAATGACCTGTGTCTACTCATTACACTTTTCCCATCCCGCCCGTACTAAGCTTGACATGGGACCACGGCAAACTGCATGTATGCCACCCATTCCCTGATGATCTCTGTATTGGCATTCATCATTTCAGCGATCCTGCTCAGCCCGAGCTAGTGGATCCCTTCCCTTAATACGGAGCGCACGATTGCACTTCAAGGCTGAATCCCTCGCATGACGAGGAATTTTGCCCGTTCAGCCTTGTACTCACAGCTGAATTAACTTTGACAGTGGCTTTCACCGGTCGGGTATCCTTCTGTGCCGTAGGCATCCGGCAGACGGACAATTTCTCTCACTCTAAGATCGAATGAAGCAGTAGCCACAAAAAAAGAGAGAAGTAATAAAACAAACAAAAAAGATTAACGGAAAAGGTTCATCTCTTTTCAATATATTCAATCAAGTGGAGTAAATCATGGTGATAATCTGAATACCTCTATATCATCATCTACACTATGGACTAGCCGGTACTTTAGGCATTGGGAATACAAAGGTTAACCTGTCCGGATGGTAAGTGCATTTCGGGCTTCCATTGGATTGGTCGCGATTATCCGCCGTTTATGGCTGAAGATTTACAGGACTGCTCTCCCGAGAGCGCAGAGCTGCTCTAAGAAAGCAGACTGGGTTCGTGACTGGCCAGATTGATTTGTATACTTATGCTCCGAGAAAACTCGTGCTTCTACTCTTAGTTCAGTCCGGGTCCGTGCAATGCTGCTGTCTCTATAGGCACTCATTTGCATGTATTGCTTTCATACTCATATGGAAAATATAAGATATACCCCAAGCCAATGCAGGTGTTTATAGATAAAGGTGACAGAGGGGCACAAGACATATAGACACTAAAGCCCCTGCATAGTCGACAAAATGGTCCTCTTGACTGAATTGACATCTAATTAAGCGAGGTCGCTCGCCTAAACATCTTCCGCGCAGAAATGTGAAGATACTTAGTAGAGAGGTATACACTCGAATAATATCATTCCCCCTCGGGGGCAGACGGACGGTCAGCCTGTTCCAGCTCACCCAGGTAACAATCTACTTACCTGCTCCAATGACCTGCACATACTTACGTATCTCGCCATACTCTCATTCCCACACATGGTATGGTAATGAGTGAATAGGTAGTAGGACCCAAGATACACAACCAAGTCATCCTCAGTCTCTGGCAGCTTCTCCCGCTAATACAAAGGCTGTTTCTAACCCTTTCCTGAGTGCAAGAGAACAATCTGTTCCCCAATTCGGTTCGAGGAGATCCAGGTTTCTACTTATAGTATTATTCTTGAATTCAACTCTACCTAGTCTCTTGCCGCCGTAGTGGTGGCCGAGGTCATTAGTATCCTTACTGATCCGATATAAGGCGCAGGTTCTAAGGTAATCATAAATATAAGACCATAATTCTATCTTTCACACCACATCTCGGGATGGTCCCCGTGTGTAGGTGCAAAAGTCTGTAGGAAAACCCCGAGGGAAGAAAACCTACAGAGATCTGAGGTACAGGATTTGTTTTGGTCACGGCAACCCTAGGATACACAATTCAAAATGCTCGTCCTGTCTATGCATTTGGTGGATTTGGGTACCACTCAGGATCTGGGGCTACCCAATCACTCGACCACTCGATCGTCTCGAAGCACGTTGGGACGCGGTCATTATCGGCGGTATCAAAGAAGCAGAATTTCGTTCCCCCCTTTTTGCCAATGAAGTAGCCCGACGTAGTAGGCTTGTAGCCTTTTTCCTTCATCACGTTTATGCGCTCATCCATTGTCAAGGTGCTCATATCATAAGCAATGCTCTGCACTCCCTCTTTGTTGCCGTGCTTATTCAAATAATCTTGTATAACAGACTTTCCCTTTTTGGGGTGCATAACCTCGATAACTGGCGCCTTTGAATCGGGATTATACGCAAAGGCCACATCCATCTCATATAAATCGTCGCCTGTCTCGTCGTAGTATTTCTGATCCGAAACGGTATCGGAGTTGAAGCGGTATACTTGAAAAGGTCCCAAGCCGACTGAACGTAGCTCGTCGAGGGTCTTATAAAAATCTGGTGTGGCAATGCATACCTGGTTGAGGTTGCCTAGAATATTTGTTGAAGACATGTCGAGGGAGCCACGAAGAGGGAAAATAAGAGAATCCGAATTTGTTTCTTCAGAAGGAAGCTCGTCTCTGAGTATATAGTAGCAGAATTGAATATGGTAGTAAAATAAACCGGCCAATGCGGGGGTTCGTCTCGATCGTAGATAGTATTTATATATCGAAAGCTGTCTACTAGCAAACTTCGGCGTCGTAGTAGTCATAGCGATTGTTTTCATCATGACTCCATGCTGTTGGAGGAAGGGTAGTATAGATCCAGAGTATCATAATGATGTAGTGGAGTTACATTTGTATTATGGTTTGATACTATGAGGATTGATGAAGAGAAGGGTTTATCGAGGTGTCATAGTCAAAGTAGTACCCGTTTTCAGCGTGACTCCATGCTATTGGATTAGGTATGGTACAGCGTCGAAGAAGTGCCATGATGTAGTACTATTGTCTGTTAACTATGGCTTTATATGTAGAACTTTGCCAAAGCTATCATAGCAATGGTAGCACAATTTACATCATGACTTTATGCTATTGGGGTAAGTTAGTATAGCACAGCTTCCGTTGGGGTACAACAGTTGGAGTACAGCTACGAGTTGGAGTACTCGCCCATGTTAGTAATCCTGACATCCCGCTACACCCGGTCGGCCACATACCACTGTCACATGTCCGACCACAACAACAGGCGCTTCAAAGAGCCTCAACCTTTTTAAAATGGGCTCTAGCTTGACATTCAGCAAGCCTCCAGCCAGCACCTACGTGTTCAGTATTACGACACATTCCCTGAAGCTCAACATCAATAATACAAGTAGCAACATCCGCTTACTACCGAAAACCCAAAAATCACGAAGCAGTTTCTATGTGGTAGAGAGCCGCTTTGGATATCGAAGTCTCATTTGTCTTCCCTCTATGACGGCATTGAAGTTGTTCTGGGAGATGGCACTAACGGAGGTAGCTCAGTGGAGTAAGTCTTTGGTAGTAAAGAGTAACCTGATGAGTACATGCTGAGATCGGACCCGAGAGACACGCTGGGGAGACCCAATCGGGACTGTACGAGCGTAGAACATCCACAGCTTTGGGCCTTTCAAATGAACACGCCATTGTGAAAGTACCCAGAACCAAACAGGAATATTCTTGTTAAGGTTCTCTTGCTGATCTGGAGCAACTAGCCGATATCGTGAGGCGGCCATATTCCGGTTACGTGCCAGCTGGGAAGCTTTCCAGTGGGAACATTGTGATGACAATAGCGACGAATATAATTTATCGCGAACGCAATCAAAGAAATTCCCACAGTTTCATTGATATTGGAATAGTTGCGTACTACGAGAGCGTGGCAGTACATCCTGGTGTATAGGCTATTCTGGGCGCGAGCCACCAGTATTGAACTTATCGTGTCTAAGCCCCGCCTCATCAAGGGAAAGGCATTTGCACTGCGTGCCTTCCAAAACACAGATATTCTGGCGACCCGTATGAAATTACAAGCCCAGCTGTGCCGAAGAAACAAAATGACTACCCCCCGCACACCTGTAGCCTGTGGCCTGTGGAATCCAACGATATCCCATAGGACAGACACCCATTTCCCGCAGTTTCCTCTGTGCTTCTTCCTCCTTCTTCTTTCGCTCCTCGATCTCAACCATTTGCCGAACAAGCCTCCTAACTAGCTCTTCATATTGACGTCGTTCGGCATCGTCTGGGATCTCTGAGTTGTTTTCCAGTTTCTTTCGCAAAGCCTTTTCCTCATTAATGATCTCCGCATCGTGCTTAATTTGTGCGTCGTGTTGTTTTCGATCAGCTTGCAGTTGGTCCCAAACCTCGTTAGATACCCCTGGATCGCGAGGCCCATTCAGGCCGGCCTCTGTTGGAGGTGCTGCATCTGAGTCAGTGTCTGGTGGTGTCGACGGGTTATCTTGTTGTTTTGCCCAGGAAGCAGCTGTGAAGGAGGGTGCCGCGTGGGAAGGTCCAGCCATCGCTGGCATGGCAGCGAGGGAAGTCGGCAGATTCGGGACGGTCGCCGTCGCCCGCAGCTGGCGCTCCTGAATTGTGGACTGGAGGACCGCATTGATCACTTCTTCAGTGATCACCAGCTGTGTCTGGCCTTCCTCTAAAGGAGATGAAAAGACTCTCCTAATAATGGTGTCCGAGATGGTTTTCACATCCCGGCCGTTCCCCCAGCCAGGAAGAGTAGATAGGCGTTCAAAGGACGCCAAGATGCGCGTGTGAAACTGGCCATCAGGCTGCCGAACAACAGATTGATCTACTTGGTGGACCTGTCCCAGACTGTCCCGCAGAAGTACCCAACATTGAGAGGGAGTCAAGTTCTTGAATGTGACTGTCTCCGAGAAACGACTGGTGAGGCCGGGGTTCGATGCCATAAGGCGATTGATGTCCTCGTCATACCCGGCCAGGATAACAATCAGCCTTTTAAAGAATTTCTCCTTTGTCAAACAATCCACCAGCTGGTCCATGGCCTCTTTCCCAAATGTGCCGTCTGCGAGCCGGTACGCCTCGTCGATGAAGAGAACGCGACCCAGTCCCTTTTCAAGAAGTCTCTCGGTTTTTGGGCCGGTCTGGCCCACATATTGTGCGACAAGATCGGACGATGAGCACTCCACTACTTCGGGGGCCCCGAGAATCCCCATGTCATAAAAGACATGTCCCATACGGTGTGCGGTTGATGTCTTGCCAGATCCTAGATATCTGTCAGTTCACACAGACCTCCGCCAGTACCATGACCGCATAAGTGCATACCTGGGGGGCCGCGAAACAGGAAATTGAAAGGAATCTTTTCCCGAGCATCCAATCCGAGTTTTTTCATGTTCCTAGCCACATGTTGGTAGCCCTCAAACTGCGTAACGAGCTGCTCACAACCCACAACGCCTTGAAAGAGCTTCCGACAGTTAGCGACCGCATTCTGTTCTCGGTCAAAATCAGGATCGAAGTCCTGTGGCTCTAGAATGTCAATGTTCCTAGTCTCTCGCGCGGACAGTCGCTGCTGGTGGCGTAGTTTAGCCTTGTCAAGAAGGATATCTACCTCGCCAGCATTGCCGAAATTCGGTCTGTTTCGGGCACGACTAAGACATTGGCGAACGACTGATTTTGCCTCTGCAGTCGCGCGAAAACCAAGTTGTTCAAGCTTGAGATTCAGTATGTCTTGGAGACTATCGTCGGTGAAATCCTCGAAGTCGAATGCGGCGCTCATAGGGAAACGTCGCGAGAGGCCTTCGTTTACTGTCTGGAACATCCTTTCCATCGCATCCCTGTATCCCAGAAGCAGGACACAGCCATCGTCACCGGGGACGCTTTGTACTTCTGCAACCAAAGTGTCGATGACCGCCGTCTTGAATATATCCGGATTAGTACCCCCATCTGAAGATGAGGACGTACCCCCTAGCATGTACGCTTCGTCGATGACTAGAACCTTACCAAGAGTGGAGGCCAAGATGCCCTTCGTAGCGGCCTCCGAGCCCCCAATGACGTTGCCAATGAAGTCAGATGGGTTTTTGACGACGACTAACGGAGGGACAAGTGTCAGCAAACGGGATCCAATAGCTACAGATAGACAGACAGCCGGTGGAAAATTACCTTCTCCGTTTGAAAGATATCCCATCTCAGCTAGGAGCTTCCCGTATAGTTTTGCGACTGTAGTCTTGCCGGTGCCTGGATTTCCGACGAAGACCTTATTGAGCGAAAACTCCACCATGGGCTTCTCCTCCAGCTCGCGTTGGTAGTTAAAGGAAACCGTGTCGAATAAGGCTTGGACCGATTGCTTCACCTGGCGGAGACCTGTTAATGCTTGCAGCTTGTCCCAAGTGGTGTTCTTCTTAAGCACTGTGCGCGGATCCAGACCGAGAAGATCCTCCTTTGTAAGAAGCAGGTCGTCGGTGGACTTTTTCAATCTTCGTTCTCGCTGTAGTCGCTTGGCCTGACGCTCTGTGATACGTGCGAAGGCATTGTGGACGCTACGAGCGTTTCCGAACCCCTCACGACCGCGGCCGCGACCGACACGCCGTGCAACAATGCGCATGTACAGTCCATCCGGCCCATCCTCCACCCGCATTCGTCCCTTATATTTCTTGTTCATGTGATGATGGAGGATTGTACACAGTTCCTCATCTGAATAGTCCTGGAACTGCAGTTCAATAGGGAACCTGCTTGGAATACCGGGATTGTGGGCAAAGAAGCTCTCCATATTCTTATTGTATCCAGCAAGGATGAATATGACCTTGCCTGTCAAATTCTCCACTTCTGCCAACAGGAAATCAAGAACCGAGCTACCCCCTGCATTGTTGCCGGAGGTTAACTGATAAGCCTCGTCTATAAACAAAGCTCCTCCACCGTTCGACTTTATTTCGTTGAGATGTTTTTGGCACCCGGCAATGCCGGCGTTGGCGAGTTTCGAACCCGATGTCTCAATGAAGAAGCTTCCCGGGATGACCCCAACAGACCCAAGGAATTCGGCATATAGACGCGCCACGGTAGTTTTACCTAGATGTTATAGTCAGTGGTTGGAAAGATTGGGCGAAGATGTTACACGAACCTGTTCCTGGGTTGCCAAGGAGAGCTGCCCCGAACCGCTCGTCAGACAGACTTGCCCCCTGCCGAACGACCACATCCACCTTGGCCTTGATGGCAAGAAGGCTGTCCTTGACGCTTTCGAGTCCAATCATGCCCATCAGTGTGTCCAAAGCTGCGTTCGACTGGCCTTCTTCTGTCTTCTGCCTTTCCCACTCATCTCGTGCAGCCGACTTGAGAGTGACCGTTTTGGGCTCACTGTTATCGCTACCAATGCTACCAGCTGATTCATTCGTCGCAGCTGACCGGGAGGTAGTGAGGCGACTTGCGACCGCAGTCAGGCTCTCAAGCTCCTTTTGCTTTTGAGCAAGAGTCTCTTGATGATCTCGGACCATCTGCTCATTGGTCAGACGTTCCCGCTGCATTTCGATTTTGTACTGAATCTCCGCAAGTTGCTTTGCATGTTCAAGCTGGATCTTACGTCGCTTCTCCTCCAGCTTGGCATCTTCAATTCTTCTCCGCTCTGCCTCAATCGCCTCCTTGTGACAGGTAGGGCAGACCCTGGGCTCTCCTTGGGAGCATTCCCAGTAGTAATTGTGGTTTTTAGGGCAGATTTTATGCATAGTCATTGTGCATTTTATATTCTTGTGATCCTGAGCGCGGTGGCACCGTCGAATACATGTGTGAATCCCACATGGGAGTAAGGTGGAGCTATAATTGCCATTTGAGTTAACCATGGAATAAATGTATTTGGATTGAACGCTGACATACCATGGATCCGAACATCCTCCATCAGGACATTCCTCCTCAAACCTTTCTGGAGACTGGACGACGATCATGCGATCTGGATGGGTTTCACATTTGAGGGGAACACCATCATATACCTGACCATGGGCCTGAAGCATCTCTAGCAGAGGCTTCCACGTGGACTGTCCTTTCCGGCTTGCTAGGAATGTACTCGCGTTCCCAATCATCACCAGGGCATTTCTTGCTCGGGAGAGTAGAACATTGACACGCTCCGGAGCAGCCATGAAACCAATATCCCCCACCTCATTGCTACGCGTCAGGCTCGCAATGACGATGTTCCTCTCTTCGCCCTGGTAATTATCTGCCTGGGTTACCATCTATCGCGGAGTTTGGAAGGTTGGCGCGCTTACCTATGGTTGATATGCGAATTGGATCTCTAATCACCTTCGTACTCCCCGGCAACTGAAGACCGGCCTGTATGAGGTCGTTCGCATCCAGGTCGTTCAGCACCGGGTCATTTGTTTTACTCAGCTCCGTCCGCAGCAAAGATAGCTGGCCCAAGTACGGTGTCAAAATTACAATGTCCTCCGTGCCGTACCCTTGCTGCCCCAGGTACTTGACAACCTTCAACGTCATCTCCACCTCGAATGGATTCTGCTTGCTAGCCTTCAAAGTTGGATCCCTTCTTTCGGCACATTCATGAAGTTCACGCTCCAGATGGCAATGGTTTACGAATACGACGTCAGTTTGGAACCCACGGAGTGGTGGTCGCTTGCACGTCCTCTCCGAATCCTGCAAGTCCGGATATGTCAGATGCCGGACAAGTCGGGATATCTCCGGGCGCATGCGGTGCTGTGTAGTGAGGGAGCTGTGTGGATGGCCCTTGGAGATAAGTCGTTCAAAGAGGGAGCGGTTGAGGTCCAGCCCATCACCTTTTTCGACGGACAAGTTGTAATTGTTGATCTTCGGGCACAATTGCTTGTGGTTTCCGATTAACACCAGCTGCTGCGTGTCCATAGTCATGGCTGTCAGGATGTGACTTTCCAGGATCTCCCCGGCCTCCTCCACAATGACGACGTCGGGTTTAGCGACCCGCAAAGCTGGTGCATATCGAGCGGCTGCGTTTGTTGTGCAGGCCACAATTCGCTTATTTTCAAGAACGGCGCAATGTCGCTTGTGATAGAAGTATTCGTCCAGGTTCTTAGAAAGAACGTTACACCTCCTGACGAGCTCAACCAATTTAGTGGATTTCTCAAAAGGAATGTTTCTCTGCCAAGTCTCTATCAACTCCCGGCGCCTGCAAAATGCCATCGTCCAGATATAAGCGTGCTGAGGACTGGTGAGGTCGCGGAGAGTACCCGCGTCCCGCCCATGCCGCCATGCATCCCAGAGATAGTATTTTCCAATACTTTTGCCTCGTCTTCCGATGCGTTGCATACCAGTTGGCTCTTCGGGAACGGTGAATGCGTCGAAGAAGGTGCTGTCCTCGGACAACTCCAAGTATTCGAGCATGTCATCTTTGGAAATGGAGTCACGGCTGTACTCTGCGGAGTAAGATTGCAACTTCTTCACTGCTTCTTCTAGTTCCTCCCTTTTCTGGCTCACAAAAGACCATGAATCAACGCCCGATGTGCCTCGAGACTGCTCAAACAGCCCCAGCTCCTTTGTACGCGGCGTAGATTTGGAACCAAGCCGTACCATGGACGTGGTTGGGATGCCAATATCCAGAAGGTCCTCAAGGAACTGATCCAGTGCATGGTTCGTGTAGCAAATAATCATGAGGGTCTTACTTGTTTTATCATGCAAAATCTTGGCAATCAGGGCACCGAGAAATGACTTCCCCGTTCCTGTAATGGCATTTGTTAGCCTTAAACATGACAGTTCACAGAGCGGGTGTATATTCACCAGGTGGCCCTTGGATTGTGCTTATGCTTTGCTGCAAACCGTCCAAGAGGGATTGAAGCTGCGATTTGTCCAGGGATATGCTCTTCGTGGTATGGATGATTCGATGAAGTGACTGGCCCTCGCTGTTTCGTATCTGTTCAACAGCAGTTTCAAGATTTTCATCCAACGTCAGCCGCTCCGGTGAGGGAGCTGGCGCAAGCAGTATGTTTGACAATGAGTATTCTATCACCGATTGCAATCGCAGGAGAATTGGCTCATATGCAAAAATGGGAGTGTTGACAACCAGAAATGCAAATTGGAGCCCCATCTTAGCGCATGCGAGAACGCGGTGGAGGGCGGCATCACCAGACAGGCTCAACGCGACCGTCGGGACGTCATCTGTGAGATCTGACGACCCACGATCTAAAGAAGCAAACCCGACAATCTCCATCTTATCCAACAAGCACCCAAAGGTCTGGCGCTTTAGGAAGTTGGGCGTATCACTCAGTAACTGTTCACGTTCGGCCTTGGGCTGGTGAGATAATCGGGGAATGCCTTTTGTGCATTCGAATTGAACACTACAGGCTCTTCGACGGTTCTCCTCCTCACCACAGCTGACGCCCGTGAACTTGAGTCCATAGATGATCAAGGCAGATCTTCGCCCCTTTCTCTGACCACGAGCAAGCTGAAGATCACTTCTTAGTTCTGCCAGCATGTCTTTTCTCAACAGGCGAAACTGGTTATCGTAATGAGCGACCGATCGTTCATCCACTGAAACCTGGTAGATGTCATCCATACGCCGATAGAAGGGCCTCTTCGTCGAAGCGATCTCATCTGGGGTTGGCAGGATAGAGATATCACGAAAGCACTCAAAGTCATTGTCATGTCTGCCACCGGGCCGGAAGTCATCCTTCCGGTCTACCCTAGTTCTGAGGGTCTTCAGGATGCCATCAATGCGATAGCCGATAGTGCGAACCTCTAGGGAGGATGAAACGAGAAATGTCCGGGCCTGCGAAATTTGCTGGGCGGTGGCGATGATTTCACTGGGGCAGCCCTGGGTACTGATTATTTTAAGGAGCAACCATGCAAAGCCTCGATCAGCCTGGTCACTAAGCCTTTTCTGGCTGTGGAGCTGAACAAAGGCATTCCAGAATGTAGGCGGTTTGATGATACTGAAGACAACTTGACGGAGAAATTGTCCACTCCCAAAATCCTCGATTGATGGGTGCTGTATGTAACTGAGGAATGGGGCCACGGAATTGTTGATAAACTCCGGCGATAAATCCAGACGGAAGCTCTTCTGAAGCGAATTGCTCAGAGCGGGGGAAGCAAGCACTCTTTCAATACAGCGTAAATGATTATCTTGACCACAAAGAGCTTCTAGTAGCAGTTTGGCATCACCTGGTTTTGTCACCTGTCTCTTGCCCTTCTCAAGGAGCACCTAGTGCTTGGAGAGCCTATCGGAGCGTGTCGCCATTGGGAAAGGGGAAGCCAATATGACTGATCGCAGAGAAGGGAAAGTGTGATCATTGAGGGTAGATGAGTCAAGAGCAGAGCAGAGATAGCTAAATCCCGCCAGAACCCCGCCTGCAAGGGAGAAAGGGAGATAAGCCAATGTAGGGTGAATGACGAGGCTAACATGTGAATGGTCGCATAATTGACCTGGGTGCGATCGCAGGCCATGCTTTGGTACCCGGCGAGAGCAATCCTCGATCTCGACTATGCCCAACCCCACCTGGTATCATTGGTAACAGATCAATTCAAACAACCTTGAGACTCTATCAATCACAGCGAATATTATCATGTGGAGGGCTCCATCAGGCCTTTATCCACCCAAGCCTTGTGGTGCTCGGCGAGGCTGGTCGGGTGCCAGACAGCCTGGGAACAGACAAGGCTCAGCTGCCGAATCCCCAGCGCCCCCATACGGTCCTCTACTGTTGGAGATTGACAATACCGAACTCGAAAAATCCGAGGAATGCCCCCTAATTACATCCTGCCAGTATGTCAGTTCGTACACATGGCTAGGCCGAGCCACGCCATCGATTCTGGTACCCGGTATGTTTCCCACCTGCCACCGGCAGCCACTGGAGCAATAATAGTGACAGAAATCACTCTGCAAGGCGAACCGCCTATCTGGAGCCCCGCAACTGAAGGCAGCCAGCTAAAACCGGATCGGGGGGAGTACTTTCGCGACCCTAATGCGGCCAGGTATCCTTCTTATCCGTGGCAGGCTTCATTTGAGGCAATTAGAAGGCAGAGTCTGGACTACGATATCGCCAATATCGATATAGTAACCTGCTCCAGTACTTTCGGAAACCTCATCCGGTTCGCTCGAGGCATGGACAAAGACTTCAGGTTCATAATGGAAACGGCTGGAGATAGCGTATGCTTCATCCGAAGGGAGAATTCGCCCAACGATCTAATCCCAGATGTCCGTGGCTACGGACATACATTCCTTGATGAAAATACAACGTGGGGACCGGGACTTGCTGGTTCCGAATCACACCAGCGAATAATCTAAGTATACCTTTGGAGGCCTAGACCTTCTCCTTCGATTTGAATCAGATGGTTATGTTCCAAAGCAGTCCCCGGAGATGTCATCCAGTAACCTACAGGCAAGCAGGGACATCTCTACTGGGGATGTAGACTCCGATATTGATGGCTTGATAGCAAGGCTTCAAGAAGACCACAGTCCTGATCTTGTTGAACACCCCGGAAAACTTACGATTCAGGAAGCTGGGCGACGGGTCGACCAGCGCGATATCATTGATATTAAAACTCGGTCAATGGTTGACTTCAAGACAAAGGCCATTAAAAAAGAAATTGATATGACCGACCTGACCCCTCGTCTGTGGGTATCCCAGATCCCGACCCTTATCGTGGCCTATCACAACCGCGGACTGTTCGAGGAGATCCGGGTACAGGACATGCGAGACGAAATCATTCGGTGGGAACGAGAAAATGAAGAAATGCTGAGACGGGTGGCTTGGCTGCTCCACGAGCTGGTACATTATGCAAAAAGTTCAATGACTAGGCTGGAAGTCTGTCGATCTGGTGCAGGCCCTATCCAAATACGACGAGTCACAGGTGATAGTCCTATGGCTCTAGCGCCGGAAATGAAAGCGAGGTTGACAGGAAGAGTCAGTCCGGACGTATCCAACCACAGATGCATTTCATCGCGTGACGATAACTTTTCTGACCGACGGCTTGGCTTCGATAGTTCAGATTCGAAGTCTGAGTATGGTGCGAGGGACTCGAGGGACTAGACGGCCTGGCCAGTGCACGGTGATTTTCGTTATCTTTGTCCCTTTTCCCCCTGCAACGTCCTGGTTCGTGTCCGGTAAACATACAATTCAATGGTTTGTAATTGGAACTAGCACACAATGTGAAATACAGTAGAGAAGAAATCTTTTTCTAGGCATCGTGTAATAAGGACTGGCGACGTGAAGATACTCATGGTTATAGATAATGAAGCGTATAGAGGAGGCAGGTGGGTATAACGTCTGACAATACTAATATCAATACTAGTAGTAGTAGCTCTATTAGACATTCCTTCACAGCGCATGAATTACCTCTCCTAATATGTAATTCTAAAATAATGCTTATACCTCAAAGTAATTGTACTATCCTGGCTATCCCCCGAGGTAAGAAGCGTTGAGCTATCGAAAATGAAGCTAGTATCACTTCAAGGTTGTAGTGTAGGACTATAATTACCTAATAGGTGTGACCCACACTGTCCTGCTAGAGCACTTGCACTATGAGGCAGTCACCAGACAAGTGGTCTGACAACTACATCGTATTACTGCCCGGTAGCCGGTTATAAATCAACACTTCAGAACAAACAGATCAAGCTGAGCGCTGGCAGAGAATGATTTTAGCTTATATCTGGAAAGTGAAGGCATTAGGGGATGCACGGACCGCAACTCCATGTGAGGCTAAGCAATTTCCAATGTTTGAATGTCTATAATTTATTAAAGTTTGAATCGTGACATAGTAGATCACAATGGCTGGACTTTCGTGGACATTCATTGCCAACATGGCCTGTATCAGCCTGATAAGGGCATCTACTCAGTATAAGTAACTCCTACTATATTGATTGGCACTCTGGCCGCAAATATTTAGCTCTGTCAAAATACCCAAAACAGCGACATGAAGATTAGGCAACTGATGGAATAAGCAGCCAAGGAAAGCTATTTAAATACAAAAAGAAAAGATACATACTAACGGTGGTAAGCCTGATTTAAAGCAGCGCTGACTGAGTGTCGGTAGCAGTCAAGGAATATAGCACTCAAACATAAAAAGGATGCAATTTTAGTTCACACTACATAAATCACCACGTTTGCTCGATGCGAACTTTAGCTTGTGAGGACGGCGGAGTTTCGTTCGAGACCCCTCTACTACATATAAATGCCCTGTTAGCTAAAGTCTACCGGCCGGTGCACCGAATCCCCATCCGATGGCGGAAGAGAATCATCGGCTGGAAGATGGGCATTTTGTCCAAAACTGCCTGTATCCAAGGATGGTCCCGGTTGAGTGTATATTTGGATCGAAAGTAATCGTAAGTCTCCTCATCATCTTGCCAGTCGTAGCCAGGGTAGGGCGGAAGGAACAGCACGTCACGATCCGGAACGCTTACCGGGGCTCCGGCCTTGGCCTCTTCACCCATCCGGTAGAATACATTCCAGACCCAGCGACGGTCAATGTATTCCTTCCACCGCGCGAGTCGGTTACGCAGTGGCTGTTGGTCATCTTCCAGAAGCGCGAAGAACTCTGCGGCGGCCGCCTGCTGGATCTCTCGAGTCCATGGTCTTATAGGAGGGGCAGGACCAGTAGTGGTGCAGGTGGTGATATCAGTGGGGTTTTGCGTCCGCCAGAGCTGATGGTAACGGTCCAGGGTTTCTGAGTCATTGGGATCGACGTAGCGCACAGGGTCCAGCTCGAATTCCCCGAACAACCCGGTCCGCAGCGCTTCACCGTCGTCCTTGAAGTCAAAACTGACAGTCCGTATTAGAACCAACCAGTGGTCTCTCATTTCATACTTGTCCAGTGCGGCAACGCGAACGTTGCCGGCGAAGAAGGGGTCGTCGAATTCCTGCCAAAGGTGTCGGTCAGTGATGGAGATCGGGTTGTGTACTGCTTTCCGAGTCACCGCGCAAAAATATGGGATTGCGTTGTCCTCGTCGTTCCAGAGATCGTATGCGCCCAGGTCTCCTTCGTCCCAGTTGAAATGCAGAATATCGATTCCCGGTCGGAAGACAACGTGCTCGTATGCGGCGGGATAGTACGGTCGCGGGATCTCGGCGTCCGCCTCAGGGTTGTAATATTCTCGAAGAACCAGCAGGCGTGACTCCTGGCACACAGCTGCAAGGGCCGGAAGTCGGAGGTGATAGCGATGATGGACCCCACAAAATCCACGGCAGGGTTCATTGTCACAGATCGGACGATCAAATTCTACTATCTGAGGGCCCGGGAGGCATAATCGCCAGATTGCATCTCGTATTTCCCAAGGCAGCTGTGGGAAGAAGACGAACGACTTCATCGAGCCAGTAGAGGTGAATGATGTTTCTGTGCCGAGAAATTTGTTCTCTCTACTCAACCTTTTCGGAAGGAGAGGAGAAGGGACGAGGAGTGGATGAGAGAAAAGTTGGAATTCAATGCAAGTGGAAATCAAGCATTGGAGTCATTCGGATCCCAACCAATACTACTACGAAAATAGACACACGCTACGAGATTAAGGGGCTTGGGAAAGGAAACTAGTGTGACAACCTGAAGACTACACTGACTAAGCAGGCCAAAAGGAAGCCTGTGTATTTCAAAAAGGGTTGTAAATATAGAGAAAGAAAGAAGAACTATCTACTCTCTTGTGATAGGATCTACGTGCCAGGGTAGAAAGTGTGACAACTAGTCACATGACTACAATATAGTATGAAAACGCATTTTGAGTCTATTAACTCAGATTCTAGTCTTGTACGGTTTTACCAGGTAGTTAACTGAGACTACTGAGTGATTAGTAACCTGGATAATTTATTTCTGAATTATACCAGGATCAGATTACGATTCTTGGTTGAAATAGTCATACATTTAATTCATGCATTAAGCACGCGGCTGATAATCAGATAAACATTTACTTTAAACTAGAAGACAGCAGATGGACTATTGGACTGCCTAAAACAGCCGCAATCAACACCAGTTTTGGCTGTCAATATGCCAATCCTTCAACCATTCCCCTGTATACTTATGCCCATGTACTATTAAGAATCAATTATTATTCTATTCAAATCTCATTAATTCATAGTGCAGTATACCTCCAGATCTACTCTTCTTTTTTTTTTAGTGCTAATACTAACTTCCTATATACCGTGCTGTAGTCTTTAAAAATAGCAATGTAAGTGTATTATATACTAAATATGATTATATTACTATTTTTAATAATTATATAAATATTTAATTATATTATATCTATTTATTAGTGAGACCTAAGATTATATATATATGTATATATTTATCAATTTATGATATCTATACCTAATCCTGTATTTTTTAACCGTTTTGCCTCAAACGGTTAAAGAAAGGGTCTAAAAAAGCCACTCTACTCTTGCAATAGCGGCATCGTCGATCTGGAGTACCTGTGAGTCAGTGGAAAAAGCATGTCTTTATTGCATAGTTGGAACTAATGTTGATATTTGATAGTCTCGATGAAAAGCTAAGTGGTACTTTTTAAATTTGATGGTTCGGTTTGAGTTGTGGGGGAAACTGGGTATCTCTTCAGAATGTGTATCATTTACCAATAAAAAAGAAACACTTCCAACGGATGAAACAGGATGAACATAAAAAAAAAAGGCCGAAGAAAATTCATTCATGGGAGGTCTAGTCGTCTAGAAAGCACGGTGAAGTGAGGAGAACTTAGTTGCGGATAGACCATATCTTCTTTAAAAAACGAAGAACTAGTTCCTCATATGTCCAAAATTTGGCACCTCGGTAGCCAAGCTATGTGCTACAGTCTCTGGAATTTGTCCAAGTGGCCTTTCCGAATAAAAAGCTCTTGAAGTTGCCGTACAGAATGTCTAAGATGTGTAATAGCGTCGTTTACAGTGCATGCTCTTACCGCACTGCAACGTAGTGCCGGATCTTTCTGCCGTCCAATCATAGCAGGTTAGTCAAACCCCACCACTGTAGCCCTCGACGAATGTTATACAAGCTATCATATTTAGCTGCAAGTGCGCGGGGCCGAAACCACCTTTTGTTTTCAAAAGACGTCATACATGTCGACTGACGCGCGGATCCTAATGTCCAAGCACAGTACTGTGGTCTGTGATAAACGGCAAATGCCGCACAAACACCTCGAAAGCAATTTTCAAAGAAAAGGAACAATTTACTCATGTTACTCAGTGGTGGTATATTTGCGCAGGCACGATCCCATTACAATTAGCATCATCTGAGGCGTAGGAAGCGTCATCTTTGCTGATATGGCCTTAAATCCAGACTTAGAGTCTGTTTCTCCGAGTACTTCTACTTCTAAGATTGCCATCCCGAGATTATCGATTCGTGAAGTGGCCGTGGGGCCACGCACTAGGAAGGCGTGTAAGGAATGCAGAAATCGCAAGGCCAAATGCGACGGTCGCCAGCCATGTAGTCGATGCGCGGCTTGTGGAATAGAGTGCGTCTACATTGATGGGAAAAGAGAGACCATGGAGAGGTGCGTTCGTATTCATGCTGCGCTGAGAAATTATAGTGACCGACAGATTTCAGGAGATACCGAGATCTTGAAAGTCAGGTTCAGGTGTACGAGAAACTCCTGCGCCGGGTACAGTTTCGAGTCTCGCCCGAGGACGGGGACCTTATCGCTCGGACTCTTGCCCATGTATGCCACCATCTGAATGACTGTTTATAAGCTTTGGCCCCTACTAATATCTTTCAAGTACAGCGAGACATCTGACATGAAGGGCACCGTTACAGATCGTGGGCAGTCCCAAACAATAGGGGATGGTGCCGTGTACGCAATAGAGTGTGTGCAGGAGGACCTTCATAGTAGCAAAACTTTACAGCCCATTGGATTTATTGGCGGTCCTTCTGAGCTGTCCTGGATTCAGGATTTGAACCAGGAGGTCGAGAAATACACAATATCTTCGGATGGAATCTCTCCGAATGAAGTTCCAACTAATGACTCAGAAGTTTTGAGTAGGGTGAGTTATTTCCTGGATGATCAGGAGCTGGCCATTTATGGAAACATTGATCTTCAGATTCAGCCACCTCAAGGTGTTGCGGAGCGACTGCTTTGCCTATACTTTCAGACTGTGCATCTTTCGTTTCCCATTATCAGCAAACTGTCCTTTACGCAACAAGTGGGCAGATATTACGCCAATCCAAATTTACGTCCGCCGAAGAAATGGCTCGCGATTTTGAATTTGGTTTTCGCTGCCGCTGCCAAGTTTGCCCATTTAGTACCTCAACATTTGATGCAGTCCATGGATAGCCCGACGGAGTATTTCTTCCGGGCTCAGCAACTCGCTACCGCAGAAAATCCATTAATTGAACATCCCAACCTTCAACAGGTACAAATTGAAGGTCTCACTGCGTTTCTGTGTATGGTGTTGGGCCATATTAATAGGTGCGATGGCAGTTTTGCTTACCCTTTGCTTGCCTTTCCTTTCCTCTTCCCTTCTTAGTTTACCTCTGTTCGTCAAAAGCCCCCCACGTCCTCACCGAATCGCAGGTCCCGGAGAGTGTGTGGTATCGCAATAAGGTCTTCCATTGCTATGGGAATAAATTTGCGGAATCAGAGTAAAGAAATATCCAATACTTCTAGAGAGATCCGATACCGTGTTTGGTGGTCACTCTATACACTGGAAAACACACTTTCAGTGATGACTGGCCGGCCTACTGGAACTTCAGATAGGTTCTGTACGACACCTTTGCCAATACCTTTCGAAGAAGAGCAATTTCATCAAGACCCTGCTGTCAGACTCCTAGCGGATTCGGGATTTCGTGCTGAGTATATGCGGGACTTTACATTCTTCGGATGTACCCCTGCGAACAGGCCTCCAAATACCGACAAAATTGGCGGCCGAAGGCCTGACTCCAAATTTCAAGATATTGTCCCCAATACTTCTCGATATTTTCTCTATTTTGTCGAGCTGACCAAGATCATGCGTCAAGCAGTTGATTCCTTGTACAGTCCGGGATTCGCAAGACGTCCTTGGCTTACCATCTATGCGGCCATGATAGACCTGGTGCACGAAACAGACGAATGGCTTTCCGGTTTAGCTGCAGCCTTTAGCTTCAAGGATCATCAAGGATCAGGTCAATTTGACAGGTGGAGGTGGGGCCTTGCCGTCAGATTTCATAGTGTGAGGATTACAATATGTCGGCCCTCCCTTTGTCGGTCGGGAAGGCACAGACAGGGCACCGAGCCTTCCAAGGATCTTCAGGAAACCGCAGATATATGTATTGATTCAGCTTGCCAGCTTCTGGATCTCCTGCCCGATAAGCCTGACGGTATCTGGTTGGCCCAGGTATCTCCATGGTGGTGTGTCCTGCACTACCTCATGCAGTCAGCAACCATACTGCTGATAGAGCTGGGCTATCGCATCGGAACCGGTGCAGACCAGGCCGCTTTCGTCGAATCACGCATTAAAAAAGCGCTAGACTGGCTTTCCACTCTGGCGGCTGATGATCTCGCTGCTGAACGTGCTTTCAGAGTCTGCGATAGTCTTCATCGTCGGCTCCTTCTCCGCTCGATTATCGAACAGGACAGAGTTCCTAGGTTCTCTGCGGCGCTGTCAACAAAACTTACGCCTTCTGACGATGTCCCAAATTTAGTCTCCCAGGCTGAGCACAATTTTACTCATGTTTCCGTTATGCCGCACAGAACGGGAGAGTCGGCATTTATGGACTCAGAAATGAGGAACGAGACAATGTTTCATCCAGCGCTCCAGACACCATACGACGAATTCATGCCGTACAATTTGGACAGTGCATGGAACTGATCATAGAAATCAGCCGTTATCAAGTATGTGATAGAATAATTAGACTATCACAGTTAGAATCATCAGGAAGATATATTACAGTAGTCAGTAAATATGAAGATCATGCGATTATCCATAGGTATCCTAGCTAATCATAATAATTAAAAGATAAGGATCTCTTATCAATTATCATTGAACTGCTACTAATTCCCTAAGAATTAGTCTATTCTGCATTTATGTGAATATAGGGTACCTTTATCTTTGATATGTAAATTTATGATATTTAATAAATAATAATTCATTTCCTACCTACAGTGGTATATTAAAAGTTTGTCTTATCCCTTGTTCCACGCTAGCCATTCCGCTTTCCTAGTTAAGCTATCTAGAACTCCATCTAGAACTTAATAAGGTATATACTAACTATTCACTTAAATGTCTGCTTGTACGTGATAAAATATAATTTAATATAAATTTAATATTTCAATATTTCAATATATATAAGAATATTTTTAGTCTATATGACTTTTGATAGATATACATATAAATAGATAGAATAAATAATTCATATAATGATATCTTTATATAAAAATACTAGATCTTTCCATGAAGATAAAGATCTTATATATTTATTATATTAAAAAATAATCAAAATATTTATTTAATCTTTTTTTCATAAGATATAGTATACATATTATGCTTAGTAATCTGTTACTTTTTAGAAATATATTTCCAAATCATTGGGAATGAGATACATAGTATTACTATTCTAAGTATTCTTATATTTTTTGATAGTTTATATAGTAGAATAAGAAATATGTAAATAATATTTATGGATTATCAGGATTTATTTAACTACTTTAATTTATAAACTCCAGCTCGGATCTCTGGAGTGGTGGAGTTGATTCTATATATAATAATATTTTTATATAGCTTGCTTACTTGTTTCAAAATTTAAGACTTTATATATACTAATTTAGTAGACAGAATAGTTATATTCTAATTTATTTAGGAAGGCAGAAGCAAGAGTAGTTGATATAGAACATAGGATACAGCAAACTTTTGTCATACCACTGCAGACTGACTTGGCTAGATCTTGAGACTACAGTGATGTGGCCTCAGCGGCTTGGATGAGTGCTGTAGACAGCTAAGCAAGGGGGAAATGGTGCAGGTTGGGTCTTGATCGGTGACTCACCTCCAGGAGCTGGTTTCAGCCCTCTTTTGAACCTGCATCCTGTGTATCCCACCTAAGGCCGGCACCATTCCTTCCACCTTCACCAAACAGCCAATCCACTTGACAGGACTTCCAGAGCTAGGGCCGTCAAAAGAGTGACTAGAAACTCAAGGCCTCCTGGGACCCTATATATACCTCTGATAAAAGACAGCGCTGATACACTTAAACAAATTATTGGGTCCTCGCCACAGTGACTCATATTCGAGGACTGGTCGTATAGCCAAGGAGCCTTGATTCAACTACCAGGGCTTAGACAGATACATTCAGCTTTCTGACGGGAATTTCCAAAGGAGGACGACCTTATTTAGCCAATTATGTCTAGCTTCTACCCTCCGTTCTCTAAACGGTAGCAACGATGATATGAAGGAGACGGTCCCAAAATATTTTCGACTGCTACTGACGGAAGAATCATTGATGGTTCCAAACTTCCAAGGTTGAACATCCCAGATAAACTGCAGATAGTATGTCGCAGTGTGAACTACGGATATAATACGTCCCGTGCGGGTTGTGTAAGGGTTCATGTAAATTACCCTTGTGTATTTTTCGGAAACCTTGGCGTTTCCGCAAAAACGCCCGTGGACCTTGTGAGACCTGCGTTTGTCGCGTATTCCAGGGTTGTACTAGGGCCAGTAGCTTGAAAACCATGCATGGGTATAAAGACCCGGTCGCATCCGCATATATTCCACGCTTTGGTTTCACAGGATCAACCTCGGAAATCCAGCCGCGGACGTGAACAACAATTCTGGAGACGTTCGCAAAGCTATCCCTTTCTGCCCATCATGGCCAAAACACTAGAAGAGTTTGCTCAATTAGAGCCTCTCTGGGACAAAGCAATCCAGCATCCAGCGGAAATTTCACCTGATGAAAAACACCAGCTGATGCAATGGCCGCCTTTAGAAGAGATGCAGGCCAACACAACCAAATACTTGGGTATGTCAGTTGAAAACTTGCTTCAAAAGGCAGCTACGGACCGTCAATCCCTCACATACGCGGAATGTCGTCTGATTCAAGATCATTTCCGCATTACGCGAATTCTTGACAAGGGTGATCGATTCGCGTGGCCGCAGATGCGTCCTGATCTTTACGATAAACTGAAACAGGCACAAGAAGCAGCTCTTTCACCAATAGAGCTTCAGGCCGTTCAAGCTGTGAATGAGGTATATCCTCAGAAAACGTATGATCACTTGGAGGCAAGGCATGAAAAGCGAAAACAAGAACCATTCCCAGATCTGCAAGATTGGGTGCGAAGGATTGTCGTTCGTGAAGATGATAAGAGCTGGGGCTTTGTCTTTTATCATCAGAAAGGAATGGCCAGACTGGATGAGTTTAGGGCGCTATTTGCCGAGGTCCTTGAGATGCCTTTCTTTTTTGAGGGATATGAAGAGATACACGATCACAAATTCGCTCAATTTGTCCCATTCGAGGCCGATGAAAGCGACATCAGCCATTTACAGCAGTGAGTTTTCCTACATAATATTAAAGACATTGCTAACAATCAGCCAGAGAATTTCGTGATCGCCGCGAGAGGGGTGACTTAAAGCCGGGTGTTCTCAAAAATGTGTTCTTCTTGTTGACAGACGAGGCTCGTTCAACTTGTGGCACATATGGCCCAGATATGTACTATGGATGGATATGGGCAATTGATCCGGACTGGCCTCTGTCGGGGCCAGATGAGGATGGCTATGATGGCCGCCTCAAAATCAGCATCACCCAGATCTTTTACCGTTTTTACGAATTCATGTCAGATGGTTTCTCGCTCAAAGAAATTTGGCAGGATTTCCATTACGTCAATGCTAACAAATTGTACCCAAGCTCTTGGCGGGAGCCAACTTCCTGGCACTTTACCCGACTTGAGAAAGCCAAATGGCCATACAATTGATTTGATGCATATGTGTCCTTGATGCTTGTTATGTACATAGTACCAGATAGTGAGCATCATATAAACATTGAAAATGTGTGATATCCCTAGAAAATGCATTCTTCCTTTCGCCGATCCTTTCTAGTCATATCATTGGAAAATACTCCACTTTCCTCCTCTTTGTCAGCTAAAAGCCAACTTGAAGCAACTAGCTACCTGGTGTGTGCATATAAACGAAGATTGAGTCGTCAAAAATCACACTTAGTCGAACCGACTCTCTGAGCAGCCTCAGATCAGCCGTGTAGTTTGTTGCGACCTGATATGCGTGCGATCCCGGGGTAGCTGCATTTTGCACCGCTTGCCATGTGACAAGTAGCTCATCAATACGCGAATTAAGCCAATTGGAGGCCCACTGAGCCATTCGTCGCATGAAATTTGTCATGAAAGTTCTGAACAGATTAGGCGCACTGAAGTCTCTTTGCCCGAACACACTGTTGACTGCTTTTTGGAACACACGCAATTCGTTATTAGCCGCGCCATATGTATCAACAAGGTGACGGTTCACAAGCTGCTCGTTCAAGTACTCGAACACAGCTATAACCTGAATTTAACGAATGAAGTTAGCACATAAATGAATAATTGAAGGAGGCTTCGCGTACCATTCGTATTTCATTGATCCCAGCCCGTCCAGCTCTCTCATCTGCCACGTTTAGATTCCTCCAAGTATCATCACCAATCGGCTTCTTCCCTGCGAACAGCTATAATCAACCATTTAGCGAACTTCTCTTTTCTGCATCAAAATTACAAAGAGGAGGCTTATCATAGTAACATACCCTTCCTTTCATCGAGTTCAAGTGAGTTTCAGTATTAACTAATCGAGCGGGGTTAATCTTTGAGCCGAGACTGTCAAATATCCGAATAATTGGAGTTCCAGTTGCTGTGGTATGGCCGCTAGCCCATGTCGAATAATCCTGATTCAGTAGTTGTGCAATGTCCCAGGGCATACGTTTGCTCCCAGTGCTGAAGTCTGGCAAGCCCTGCACAGCAGGTAAAGTTCCAGTAACCATAAATTCAATTGAGCGAGGAATCAATTGAAGCTCGAAAATATGCTCAGCTATGAAGAAGTAGAAGGGTTAATACATGTACCATATCGCCCCATGGGAATAATTCAATGCATCATGATTTGGGAGCACTTACTGACCCACGTCCAAAGATTGTTGGGCGCGTTAGGATCAATAGAGGTATCAGTACATACATGTTGATTTGCGACCGCAAATCGCACTGTTAGTCCATTGGCATTTGCAAGGTTGTCACCATTGCCACCATTTGGATAGGCCACTGATGTAATAATCATGATTCGCTGCTGTCCAGTAATTGGGTCAGTACCGCAATCAACGGTGAAATCCCTGGGAGCTCCATCACGTTTGTCCAGACTGTGAAGAGCTCGTTTGGTTGATGCACCATTCGTTCCGTAGGTATCGGGGTCAATCGAGTATTCATCATCAAAACCGTCAAGATCGCTGATAGCGCAGACTTCATCTAAAGTACTGGGAGCTGTACAATCCTTGATCATCTGGTTCCAGTACTCTAGGTTGCAAATGATGCGACCTGCAAGATCCTCTGCAACTACAGAAAACAGTTCACCTGTAACATCTCTCAAGAATGGTATAAGGGTGGAAGTCGCTAGATAAGTAAACCGAGCGGCGATTACGTCGTTCCACACCTTGATTTCCTTGACGGCTTTGTTTGTCCTGCTCGTCATGCGATAGGTGTAGATGACATCAGTCGCAACAATTAGAATTGAATTGCTTGTGAAGAATGATTGTTGATCTTGACGTTTCTCCAAAGATGTTCCCGAGGTGCCGGCATACCGAGGTGCATATTCTATAGGCAACATGTCTGTGAAGCCTCTTTTATCGTAGCCCACACCAAAGGTATCATCGTAGCCGTACCCATAGCCGGTAGAGCATGTAGGATTTTCCAACCAGTCTTTAAGATCAGCCGTCCAAAGCTCCACCATAGGGTCTACCTTTTTTTGGGTCGTGGTGTAGTTGGGAGAACAGCACTTTGCACGGGAGCCAGTCTTTTTGTTACAAGTATTGTAGTGCTCCATAGCTACCCGTACTTTGTCCTTGGGACAGCTTGAGAAGCAGTAGCCACTCCCACCACTTCCACTACCACCATCGGCAGGAATGACTTGGTATCCTGTTTCGCTATAGTCGTCAAGCCACTCGCAGTCGTCGAAAGTCATGTTTTCATCAGAGCTGTCACAGCAATATTTGCGCTCCTCATTCAGGTGGGTTCTCCAGTCGCCACCGCAAGCCGATCCTCCATTGCCATTGCATGACTTAAGGAGAACATCGGTCTTTTCTGCTGGGCATTTCCATGAATCGCATTCGAATGAAGCACCCCATTCGCATTTCTCATAGAGCGCAGTACTCTTTTGACCACTCGTACAGCAGGCAGCTTGGTAATTACCAAATGCAGTTGAACATCCACGGTCGGTTCCGCCAATTTCAAAACTACCATCTGGACACTTGCCTTCACAGTCACCGTTGTTGAAAGTGTACCAGCCGCAAGTCGGAGCATCTTGATCAGGAGGGCAGCACAGACGATGGTCCTGATTTTTGAAGATACAGCCTCCATCATCAAGCATCCACTCACCATCATGATGTCTATCATCGTCATGACGGCGGAGCAGAACCCATCCATCCGGGCAGAGGTCTCCACAGTTTGTCCATTTGCACTGATCATGTTTGATTTTGATTGTGTCGTCTGTCTTGATTGTGTCGGGCAGAGCTTTAAACTTGCGCTGGGCTGCTTCTCCCAGGGCAAGGGAGTAAGTCCCATTGGTATGGTCATGGCTTACTGCCCATACCATAAGGCCACCTAAGCATTTCCCTCGGGCAAAGTCGGCTTTGAGCTTGAAGGTGTCGATATCATCATAGGATACCCATTGATTATCATCCCATGTGATCATCTTCACTGCAGCATCTTTATCGTATGTGATTCTGGGGCGTTTTCCCGCGATAATCTCGTCAATCTCGGAGTTCATCAGAATCCCAACCTCATGACTGCAGTCTCCAGCCTCCGCCCCGGACGCAAAAAGGCAGCCAGGCTTAGTACATGATGGGTCTGCAATTGTATATGCTCTGCCGTAAAATGCTATTCCAAGAACTACCTGATCTGGTGGAATATTGTTTCGCCATAGAAGATCCAGAGAGGCTTTAATCTCAGTGAGATTGGTATGCGCGTCGAGGAATTCACCAGTCCATTTGTTTCCTTTGTCCCAAGTTCCATGAAGATCGTAGGTCATGATATTGAAGAAGTCCACACTTTTCCTCATATTGCCGATGTCAAAGTGTTGCAAGTACCAGAAAGAGGCAGGCAGAGTTATACTAAGACCATCTCGACCGCCAGTTCTTTTGAGTGCCGCTTTGAGATTCTTCAAGAACTTGGGGAAGTTGTCAAAGTCTTCTGGACGACCACTTCGATCGTCCGCTGCTGGATATTCCCAGTCGATGTCTACGCCATCCAAGTCATATGTGGACATGAACTTTGTGAGGGAATTAAAGAACTTGTTTTGATTAGATGTCGATGCGGCCAGGTCAGAAAATGTCGTTGCAGTTGGGCCAGGGTCATTATAGCTCCAACCTCCAATAGCAATATACACTTTGAGATCAGGATCTTCTTGCTTGAGACGGGCGACTCGCTTGAATAGCTCAATATCTGCAGTCAAAGAAGGTCGAACCTCGAATGTATCTGGGTCAATGACTGCAAAGGCCACATTGATATGGGTATAAATTCCCAAAGGAATTTGCTCCGGCCAGAACTGTTTGCATCGACGCCGAGTGCTCCAAGTCTCATAGTATCCAACGACACGCTCTAATGTGTGCGTTGAATTATTGCAAGAGGGCTGTTTCACTGTTTTCTTCCCACAGAATTCTGACGTTGTTCCACAGAAGCCAAACTTTGAGCAGCATACGTTCAGAGGACAAGATGATTTTTCAGACCAATCTAACCCAAAGCCCGGGTCACATTCTGCTTTTCTTTCACAGCTAGCAACACAGTCATCTCCGCAGACTAAGAAAGGGCTTTTGTTAGATATTGAAAACCAAGTATGTAGCGATCCAAAAACTTCTCATTGAGTACTTACACTCTGGTCCAAGTCCACAGAATCCAAATTTGTTACAACAGCCTTGTGCACATGGGTTGTTGGCATCACAACCCAGCTTGTAGTCGCAGGTATCAACACAGTCTGCGCCACAGAACTCATCACCAGTGCCGCAGTAACCATGCTTCGAACAGCATCCAGTTGCACAGGGGTTCTCTTTGCTACAGTTCTGTCCTGCGGTCTGAGCAATGAGGAAGCACAGGAAAAATAAAAGATACACCAGCCGGGGGCGTGAAAGGAAGCCCATGGTTCCCATAACAGAATTAGAAGCACCAAATGGCTCCTAAAACCAACTCTTGATGAGCTTCCAAGATATGATGGGACTATACTAAAGGTAAACGACGAAAGGCATCCCTAAGTTATCTTTCCAGGACTACTCGTACCATTTGTAAGCTCTAAGAAAGACTAGCTTAAGCGAACCACTGTGTACTAAGACATTGTCGTTATTTTCATCTTAGCTTCGATGCTTTTTCGCGATTGAACAGAAACGTGCGAGTAGTTAGCTAGCGTAGAAACCACGCAGTTAGCTTCAAAAGTGGCAGCGCTGTACGGAGTACCTTGCCATCTGTAGCGGAAATTGCTATGCATGGTCCCACTACTGCCAAGTCAGCTCTAGAAGAACTTGAACGCGATCAAAAACATTAGTCGATGTAACATAGCAATCTTATTAGCGTCGTTAATGGGCCAAATGAAAATGTACAGAGATTTCAGACCGACTCAAACTCGTCCGCTCGCTTAACCCAAACAAAGAGCTAGTAAGTTTGCCTAGTTGAAGCCCCTGACCGGCACTTCTTCTCCTTGGCGGCAAAATGAGTACCTGCCTGATTTTCGTAGTTCTAGATACAATCTCAGTGATAATCGCAACATTCTTCCAAGTTTCTCACGAGGGAAATAATTGCAAGAGACAACTAAGTTCACGATTGTCAAAAATTTTGATCGTATTCATTGCTTATAGTGATGATCTTTGCTTTTTCCTCCCAGGATCTGCCTCACCCGCATCTAAATCTAAGGGTTTTCAGGGTCCGAACCCATTTGTCTTGGCGTGTGTTTTACCGGAACTACCGGAGCCCGGGGGAGGCGGAAAGCTTGGCGTAATTCAATAAAGCCGCTACGTAGTAACTTTCAAGCATCCGTATCTGAGACATGTTTGTCAGTATTGTTATTGTTCCTTTCGCGTGCCACCTGTGAGAGGACTCATTCGAGCACGCGTCAGTTTACTACTAGCACCGACGGTGACTTTGGAAATACTGCCAAGGTGCATTCCATGGTCAGAACCCCTAATATTCAACCAGAAATGCCCTCAACCAGAGAACACAGGCATACTCATACGCTTACCAATGTGACGTGGGTGGTCTTTCAATTAGACCTCGGGGGCCCTGGAGGTTTGCTTTGTTTTTCTTCTCTGTTTCCAAATGGTAAGATTTCAATACCTGAATCCCCATAGAACAAAAAAGCGTGGCTCATTTCAGGGGTAGGCGAGTTCCGTGGTAACTCGCTCCTCTAGTCACAAATAGGCTTTGACAAGTCCCGCAGCACCGGCCAATTACTGGTTCCGGTGCTGTGGTGCTGCGACCATACCTATTTAGACTAGATAATTACCTATATAGGAAAGTGTTCGGCATGGTAATGCCAAGACGGGGCCAAATCAGCATGACTTGTCAAGGCCTAGTCACGAAGCTCTAGTCAAGCCACATATGTTTGAACCTTGGCCCTGAGAACGGAGTGGGCTTGGCAGTTCACTATTTTAGCGGCTTGGTATTCATGATAGAACCAAGACCACCGCACGAAGTATACTAGTATGATACTAATTGACTTATGTGGAGAAATCATGACAACTAATGCTACCTTCAGGGCACCTTCTGCGGCCTCGTCAAAGGAAATTGCACCTCGCCTAGACAACCCACAAGGCCGCGACCTGACCGACATAAGAAATGAGCTGTGGAGAATATACTTGACTTACTCGGAGTGCATGAAAACAAACTAGCGTCCTTGGGATGTCTTAGAGGTGTTGTACAGGGTCGCATTAGCCACCTATGATTAGTGCGAACTAAAGGCTATTCGGTTGTGCTTCTTCGATAACTAGTTACACATAGAGCCAGGCAATCCCAACGCAGACTTTCCAGTGACCAACGACACAGTTTTCCCCGTGTTGGACAAACTGAAGAGCTGCCGCCGAGATGCTTCGACCACTTGTCGGGGTCTTGTGTCTCTTTTTCTTGTTCGGGTGGTTGCCTGGCATATCAGCTTCTCAGCATGGACATCACACCCACCTCCATCTTTACCGACGACATAATGGGACCGAGAGTGCCGAGTCTGACGGCTCTCCCAAACATATTGTTGAAGAAGCTCTGAAAGCTTTGAGAATTGCCAACAAGCTTCGTGTGGAGAATTCTCAATTCAACAAATGGGAATTCCAAGATAATACTTCCCAGGACAAAGGATTGACCGATGTCCCGCTTTCAGACTACTCAGACTCTACGAAGAATGTATCACTGGCTCAGCTGAATAGACGCTCATCTATCAATGATTCAAGCGCACTGGAGTCGAACCCAAAATACGGCTACACCTTATCACCCGCAATAGTCAAGGCTGCAAAGGATGTTGCGGAATCTGAGAAGCCAACCCCTTGGGACATTGACTATGCCTCTATTGCATCAAAAGTTCGCGCGAAATGGAGTGCAGGCACAAATGACACGAACGCAATGGTCCAGAAGCTATCTCGCTCGAACGGATTGGATCAATACACTTCCTTCGGACAGCCAGACGGTCTTCAAGAACCAACTGAAGAAGGCGTCAGTAAAAGAGACACTTCATCGTATTGGATGGCAAGTGTAGAGAAGAATGGTGCTAGCCCCTATGCAGCATTCGGCTACAAGGTACCATACATTCCATACCAGGAATTGACTTCTCTAACAATACGAACAGGTCTGGAGAAATGTGATGGACTATGGAGCTAAAGGTACGTAGCATAATCCAGGCCGAAATTTTATTATGGGATAATCGGTTTAACCATTCATTCAGGAGATGGTGTTACTGATGATACTGCTGCCATTAATCGAGCAATCTCTGACGGTAACCGATGCGGTGCCGATTGCAAATCTAGTACCAGATACCCAGCTGTCGTCTGGTTTCCTTCTGGTACTTATCTTGTCAGCAGTCCTGTAATTCAGTATTACAACACACAGTTGTTAGGAGATGTATGTATCCATTCTCTTGACCAGCCTTTGGTAGAGACTAACTTGTCTTCTTTTCTCTAACTTAGCCTACCAATCTCCCTACAATTTTGGCTGCTTCGAGTTTCGTTGGCCTTGGTGTGATTACGTCCGATGTCTATGTTGGTGATTCGGAAGAATGGTACTAGTTTTGTCACTCAGCATTTGCATGAGTATGCATAATGGGTGCTGATTTGCTAATATTTGTACAGGTATCTCAACACTAATAACTTCTTACGAAGTATCAGGAATTTCAAAATGGATATCACGCGCACTGACCAATCAGCGTACGTCTGCGCCATTCACTGGCAAGTCGCACAGGGTACCTCTCTTGAGAACATTGAATTCTATATGCTGCAAAATGTCGAAGGAAATACCCAACAGGTATGAACAGAGAATCTACTTCTTGTATTCTTCGTTGGCTGACTTTGATGATAGGGTATTTACATGGAGAATGGCAGTGGTGGGTTTCTAGCTGACCTTACATTCGTTGGAGGTAACTTTGGGTATGTAGAGCACTTGAATGATCTACCACCACTAGTTTATTAATCACAAAGCTGACTATATCTTTAGAGCATATTTTGGTAATCAGCAATTCACTACAAGTCATTTAGTGTTTGTGAATTGCAAGACGGCTCTCCAAGTTCACTGGGATTGGGCTTGGACAATGCAAGATGTGGTCATCGAGTCCTGTGGAACCGGAATACTTCTGACTGGAGGTGTAAGCTTTCTCTCTCCTCCCTAAAGCACATTAAACTCTATCACATCCTATCTCGTACACTAGATATACTCGAACCATAATCTAACGAAATATCACCAGGCGGGCGGATCTGCGAGCACCGGACAGTCTCTCGGTTCATTCATTCTCGTGGACGCTATCATAGCCAACACACCAACGGGCATTGTCACCTCTTTATTGGCCGAGAATTCAACATCTCTTCTTTTGCAAAACGTTGGATTCTTTAATGTGCAGAATTCCATCACTGATAGTGTCTTGTCAAAGGTTCTCCTCGCGGGTGGCAACGAAGTTCCAGTTGACAACTGGGGCTTTGGCCGAGTTACCAATGCAAATGGGGAAAGTTCTTTCATCAATGGAGCCAACATCTCCCCTATGAATCGTACTGATTCTCTTCTATCAACTGAACTGGCATATGTCAAGCCTAACTTTTATACTCGTCGTCGTCCCAAATACGTCAATATCAGACAGAGTCAAATTATCAACCTCAAGACCGCCGGTGCTAAAGGCGACGGTGTGACTGATGACACCACAGCATTAAACAGTATTTTCGCTGCAGCTGCAAATATGTCATCTATTGTTTACGTTCCATATGGTGTCTATATTGTTACTAATACTGTTAAAATTCCTGTTGGGTCTCGAATCATCGGACAGGCTTGGCCACAGATTATGGGGAAGGGCAAGAATTTCCAAGATCAGTTACATGCCCGACCGGTCGTTCAGGTCGGTGAGGTAGATGAATCGGGAGTAGTTGAGATTCAGGACATGATGTTTACTGTGTCTGGAGCTACCGCAGGTGCCATCTTGGTTCAATGGAATGTTCATGAGATTACACGCGGCTCAGCTGGTCTTTGGGGTATGAACAAATCCAGTGATACAAATTCTTTTTCCAACTGGAGTGCTGACAATATTTACTTAGATTCCCATTTCAGGGTTGGTGGGGCTGTAGGTTCAGAGCTACAGGGTGACAAATGTCCGAAGGGCGGCGGTATCAACACCGACTGTATTGGTGCATCTGCCCTCCTTCATGTCACTTCTAAAGCCTCCGCTTATATCGAGAATTCCTGGGCTTGGGTTGCCGATCACGACTTGGATGCTGCGGATGAGGCTCAGATTGACATCTTCTCTGGTCGCGGCATTCTTATTGAAAGTCAAGGTCCCACCTGGCTTTATGGGACTGCTTCTGAACACAACGTTCTATACCAATACCAGTTTTCTAATTCCAAAAATGTGATTGCTGGTATGATTCAAACCGAGTCACCATATTTCCAGTCTCATCCTGCAGCGCCATTGCCCATTGTGACTGGTGGATTTCCAAATGATCCTCACTTTGATAACTGCACAATCTCTTCACCAGCTACGTGTGCGGTCTCGTGGGCCGTCCGAATCGTGGACTCCTCCAGTGTCTATATACTTGGCGCAGGTTTGTATAGCTGGTTCTCTAGATACTCACAGGACTGTCTTGCTACTGAGAACTGTCAAGATCGAGCCTTTGAGATCGAAGAAAGCCAAGATCTCTGGATCTATAACTTGGTTACCAAGGCTATTATCGAAATGATCAGTCCTGTAAATGAGAAGCCCACTCTCGCCAATGATAACAAAAATGGGTTTATGTCGTCAATTCTTGCTTGGCTGAAAGGATCGACTGACACAACTGGGCAGCGGGTTTTCGAAGGTTTCACTATCTATGACACTAATATGCTGCCTTCAACGTTTTCGGATGCCTGTATTACTGCTCTCACCGCTACTATCAAGTGTGATCTCCAGGTATTCCAGTTTGGAGAGCCTCAATACCATGGCACATTGGGTAACGATACTTTGACCGACTTGGTTTGTGATCAAAGTTGCGGCGATTCACTAGCGAGATGGTTTACCAACGCGGAGGCAAATTGTAATGGTGCCGTTCTTCTTGATCACCCAGCCACAATTCTGGGTGGAAACATGTGGGAGGGATGGAATGAGACTTGTTACAAGGATCCGACGACAGGCAAATACTGCAATGGTAAGATTGACATTCCTGGATTCATTGTTGGGTGCCGCTAACCTCTTGAAGATGTTATAGGCCAGTTCACGCGTGTTGCAAGCGTGGACCTCATGCCCAAGGATGAGATGTGCTCCTATTGCTACAAAACTAAGCTTCAAATGATGCAATCAAGCCCCTATTCCTATTACAACCAGCGATACAAGTACAATCTTGAAACTGTTATAAAGAACTGTGGTGTCACTTCTAACACTACAATTCCTGATGATCTTTCTGTCACTCAACCGGAAGACGAACCGTTTTGCCCAGATGACAGCTCATATACAACCAAGGATGGCGATACTTGCACATCTATTGCCCTGGACTACTCTGTTGCGTCTGCAGCCCTGTACATGGGTAATCAGGATCAGATACGCGATTGCAATCAGGTCGTTGTTGGGCAAGAATTGTGTCTACCCCTACCATGCGATCACACATATGTCCTCAAATCGAACGACACATGTCGTAGTATTGAAGAGGCCAACGCGGCAATCATGTTCGACAATAGCACGAAGAGAATCATTCCTCTTCGCCAAGTCAATCCCTGGATTGATACATACTGTTCCAATCTTCAAAGTACTTCTTGGGCCTATGGAAAGGTCTTGTGTCTAACCCCTCAGTCGGGGCTTTTCAACGCGACAGATCCAGTGTCTACGTCCTACAATCCTTGGGGCACGGAAAGCTCTGGCTATGGTTCATGGGTGGTTCTCCCTCCAGATAATGCCACTGTTGCAGCCGGAACCACCAAGCATTGTGGGAAATGGCATACAGCCACTACTGGGGATACTTGTACACAGATTTGTGTCCAAGACAGGATCACAAGCAATTTGTTCTTGCAGGTTAATCCTTCCCTGCAGTCTGCAAACTGTACGGGACTTCTCATCCCAGGAAATGCGTACTGCACTGGTCCTATGCGCGGTTGGAATTATACTGTGGCAATCTAATCGTGGCAAGAGGCTACCTAGACTCATGGGTGCAGGCGTATACTAGGTTTCTCGCTGCTCTGTGTGTATTCCATGGTTTGCTGTTGGCACAGACATGAATAGACGCCTGTGTAGCAACTCGATAACAAAAAGTACCATATGTTCTCCCTAGACACAAGATTCACGCTTCTCATACACATTTCACGTGTACATATTCAGTCACAGGTTGTTTTGCTTCTTGCCAGGGTACCAAAACTTGAGGTATTCCCGCTTTTCTATACGCCGTATCAACCTCAATACCTTCGATAAAACGGCAATAGATGGGGCCTGCCATTAGCCAATCTCCGCTCATCAAACTTCGTTCATATGTCCTACCACCAATACAGATTCTCTATCCCCTTTTTCTTAGCGGTCTTTGCTTGACCTGTGGAAAATAAGGACATGAATCTAGACATAATATCAGCCTCTCCGGACGATTGACAACTATTATTTTATCTTAAGAGAACAATGGAATTCAACTTTTTACCAGTAGATCCGCTTGCCGGCGCAGCAAAACTTCTCGAGGGACACGCTTCGCGATTTGGAATTACAAGCACGTTATTCTAAGCCAACGAACGTACGCTGGGAACTGATAGATAGATAGATAGATAGGGACTGGATTACCCCAATACTAGCGCGGCAGGATGTTCTTGCAGGGTACCTACAGCCGGAATAAGTCTCTAAACTATAGAATCTAATTAAACAGGATTTTATTCTTTTTCTATATAATTCTTTGTAATATTACAGTATTGCTTGAATAATATAATTTAAATATAAAAATATTCTTAATTTTAACTAATTAATCAAAATATCTATAGCTAAACTTTTATAGATATTTTATAGATATTTTTATAATAATATATTTCTGTGGGATTTACTTGATTTTATTTCTTATATTCTCTTGATATTTTTATTTTCATTTTTTTTATTTCTGATGTAATTAACTTTGTTAATTTATTAAATAATCAATAATAAAACCTCTTCTGCTATTCTGATCTAGAGATTTATAATTTAATTACAAAATATCTAAATTAAGATTAAAAGATATAGAATTTCTGAAAATTTCTTATAAAAATGTAGAATTTGCTCTTTACTATAGGTAATTAATTTTAATTTTTATAAATCTTTTTTGAAATCTCAATATGCCTTTAGTATTCTAAAAAAAAATTATATTTATGGATTTTAATATATATATTAAAGTCTTACTTTTACAATAGCCGTGAATATATATTTATTAAAATATTAAAATATTAAAATAGCTGATATTAACTAGTATTTTTTGATATATTTAATTTTTATTCTTAACAATAAAAGATTTTATTATTATTTAATTTATAGCAATTAGAAAGCTTAGTACTTTTCACAATAATAATAATAAATTTTAATAAAATAAATCAGATTTTATACTTGAATTTTTTCTTAATAATTTATTTAGCCAGTAACTTGTTAGATTATTATAATATATTTTTTAATTTTTTTAATTGTTTTTTTTTATCGGCTTAATAGAACATTTCTGTAATTTTATTATATTTCAAAAATATGGTCTCTATTTCGACTTTTTCAATTTTTTTAGAGATTCGGTACCTGATACTAAAATAATTTAAACATTGATATCATTTTAGTTTTTAAATATTATATCTATGTTTCTTGCTGCAGAGAGCTCTAGAATTTAAAAACAAAATATTTTTAATATTTTAAAATTATTTATATTTAATTAATGAATTTTTTATTAATATTTTTTAAAGCAATGCGGAAATACTTATAAAAGAATAATAATTAATAATTCTTTAAAAAAGGTTTTTTTCAGGAAAACCTGTATACCAGTTTTTTTATAGAAAAATGAATAAGATTTATTAATTATATAAAAGTCTAAAGATTTTAATAATTATTTATATTTCAAGAAAGCTTGTATATTTATAAGAATTACTAAATTTCAAAAAAAGTTTATTTTCTAGAAATTCAGCTACTTTATATGTTTCTAAAAGTTAATATTTATTTAATAAGTTTTATATCTTTTTATTATTGTTTTATTACTTTTTTATGAATTTCTCTAATTTTCTTTTACTCTTTAGCTAATTTCTGTTTTGTTATCTGGTAAGTAGAGTGGTTATACTGACCGTTATACCTTAATCTAATCTTAACCGTAACCTATCAGTTAGATTAAGGTATAAAAATCCTCTTAATTATACAGTTAAAAATAGATTAAGATTAAAAAATTACTTTAACTAATCTTAACTACAGATTAAAAAACTTAGATATACTTAGAAAGTTAATAATTATAGATTAATTAGTTATTCATACAGAGACTTTACAGGAATAATATACTAATAATAATATATTTTTAATTTACTATATTATTAAAACAGGTATTAATTAGATTAATTATTAATTAATAATTTTATTTTCTAATTAATAATAGTAGCTAGTAGTCCAGTAACCCAGTAGTTTCTATATTAGACTTTTATAGATAATACTAAGAATTTAAATTTATTTAAATTAAATTATTAGAAAGAAATATATAGATTATTATTTATATTATTCTTTATATTATCTGGGTTGATAGTTATAATAATAAAAAAATTATATAATTTAAATATTTATTTATATCTAGATACATAAAATATTACTAAAATAAACAAAATTTAATTTTCTTTTTTTAATAATATTTTATTTTTAAAATTATTAAAAATATATTTAATATTAATATTATTAATTATAACAGTTAGAAAGTCCTAGTTATATAATAAAAAATCAGAAATTAATTATAACAGAATTTTTAATAAGAATATCAGAATATCCAGTAATTTCTTGATAATTATTGATATAAATATAATTTTAGAAATAATTAAATTATTTATTTAGTCTTTGATCATTTATACATTTTTAATATTAAAATAAATCTTGAGCTTTTTGAATATTATTATAAAAAATAAGAACTTCTAGTATTCTAAGATATTATAAAAGATCTTATCCAGATCTGAAAGTATACTAGAGACTATAAATAATATATTAATAATAAAATTCTTTTATAATAAAAATAAAAAATCTTTTTAAAAATAATTTAAAATTTAAAATATTAATTAATATTATTATCTAGTTAGATACCCTTCTTGAATTTTTTAAGTTTTAATATAAAATCTAGAATTATTATAATTATATAAATATAATCTTCAGCCTGGTAGATCTGGTAGTAGTATTTATAAAGTTTCTAATATATATTTTCTAAGTTTTAGAGAATCTTTTTTTAAGATATCTGTTTTTATACTAGTTGATTAATAAACTAGTTAAAATAATTAAAAAATTATTATAAATATTATAATTTTATAAATTATAGATTTACTGTTCTCTGACAGACAGGAAATAAAAAAATATAGAAATTTAAATAAATTTTAATTACTTCTATTCTATTAAAATAGAATAAAAATAGTTAAGATTATTATAATTTTAGTACTAAATAAAGCTTTTAATAATTAGATATAATTTAATAATTTTATAAATTATAAGATAGATTGAGTTCTATTAGATTTTATAATTGAAAAAAAGATAATATATTAAAGTAAATTTTAATTATTAAATAAACTGAAACTTCTCCCGGTATTAAGAACTTATATTTATAAAATATATAATTTTTGAATTTATAATTAAAAATCAGAAAAATAGATAAGAGATAATAAATAAATTATAAAAATTATTTATGAAACTTTCTCACAGATAACTTTTAAAGTATTCTATATAGGACTTTTAAAGGATAATTTCTAAAAAATATTATAGAAACTTTTATAAATAATTTTTATTATATATCTTTTTAATTATCCAGGAAATACTGGAAGAGGTTTCTAGCTTTTTATTATTATTTTTTATATATATTTAATAGCTTTATTAGCAGCCTTGATTCAAAGTTTCTGAAGAAAGGCATTAACAGAAAACTAAATAATATAAATTAAATAAAAAATATAATACTAATTTTAGATAATTTTTGTAAGATTAGAGTCTATTATAATATTATAAAAATAAATATTCTAATTAAGTTAAATCTAGAATTCTGATATAATAATATTAAATATAATATTATTATTATTAGTATTATTATTAATTATCTCCAACAGCCAGTACATAAGATAATATTTTTATAAAATTTCTAAGATAATCTTAGCTAGATTTTTATTAATATAAAATCTAGATACCAGTTAAAACTTTAATAAAATCTTATAATAATCTATATTTTTATTAAAAAGTATCTAGTTAAAATAAGAAATATTCTTTTAATTTAGATTAAATTAATAATTAATTATAATTAACATACACCTGCTATCTAAAACCTTTAATAATAATTAAATATATATCTTTTTAACAGCTTCAAGAGGTATTTTTAAATCTATATTTAATAAAAAAAATAAGAATTCAGGAAAATACTAGAATAAGAAAATTATTTATTTCTTTAAATATATTTAATAATATAAAACAGCAGGCCACAGATAATAAGAAAATATAATATTTAATTAAGAAAACTTTTTTTATTATAAACAGCTGGAGCCTAAAGACAGTATAATAAAAATTAATAATATTAATTTATTAAAAAATTCAGAAATTTTATCTAGAAATAAGATTCTAGAATTAATATTTATAAAAATATTACTAATAATTATATACATGTAGTAATTTTTTATTTGTTATTTATTTAATAATTTACTTAAATATGTATTAGGATATTAAAATTAATTTATAAAACTAGTCTTAAAATTATTAATTACTAGATACTGTAGAATATGCGAGCATATAATATAAAAATATAAAAAGTTTATTAAAAAATAATATATTTTTTAAAAATAAATTTATACTGTTACTGTCTTTTCTTAATTTAAGTAAAAGAATAATCTCTAATCTTATATATAAATATAATTAAAAATAATTATTTATTACTAGTCTTAAAAGATAAAGATTTTTTCCAGAAAAACTAGATATAAAATAATTTTTTAATATTT